GTCGGAAAAAAAAAAAAAAAAAAAAAAAAAAAAAGGGAAACAAATACAAGCGGAAAAAAACACTTGGGAGGAGCTGGGGGGGGGGGGGTCCGGGGGAGTTGCCAGCTGAGCCGCGCTGCAGCCCCCCCCCCCCTCCCCCCGCAGCGCCGCCCCCCCCCCGCCCGTCTGTCTGTCTGTCTGTCGGGGCTTTCTGTCCCATGCCGGGAGCGGGGCTCCGGTGCGGCAGAGCAGCGCGGCCCCTCGCCCTCCCTCCTGGAGGTTTTATTTTGGGGGGGGGGATTTTTTTTTATTTTTTTTTTTTTGGCTAAATCCTCGTCTCTGCGGGATTCCAGATGGGATTGTATTTCTCGATTCCTTCCACCTGCCAGCAGGTCCCCCCTCCCCCGTTGTTTTTTTTTGTTTGGGTTTTTTTTGTTGTTGTTGTTTTTGGTTTTGTTTTTTTTTTGGTTTTGTTTTTTTTAGGGTGTGTGGCAGAGAATATCGTAGCCGGAGAGGAGGAAGAAGAGGGGATGAAGACAGAGGATGGGGAAGGGATGTGGGAAGAGGCTTCCTCCCCCCCCCCCCCCCCCGCCAGCTTTGTAAATAGGAGAGACTAGTCCACCTCCGGCTGTCTGTCCGTCCGTCCATCCGTCTCCTCCGAAGGCATCAGGAGGAGCGAGGGATACTCACAAGGAGGGATGCGGGGAGTCGCTGCATATCCGGCTCTGCGCTGCCTCCGGCTCGGCTTCCTCGGTGCGGGACTTGCGGAGGGGGGGGGGCCGGGGGGGGGGGGAGGGCTCCCAAGGGCGAGGGGTGGGCAGGGGGGGGAGTTAGGGGATGGCAAGGTCAACCTGCAGCCCCCTCCCTCCCCCCCGAACGCGCTTCACGCAGGAGAGCTCCTCCGTGTCTCAGCCTTTCTCCTCGTGTCCCCCCCCACGGGGACGTCACCTCCTGCTTGGAGCATCCTGGTAGCGCTGGCTGGAGAAGGGCATCTCCTGGGCCTCCGGAGGGGATGCTCGGCCCGGTTCCCCCCCCCAGCATCACCCACAGAGACCTTTGCGGTGGGGACTCGCTGCAGCCGGGGGCTGTGGGTTCGCTCCCGTGGGCCTGGGTGAAAACCTAAAGCAAGCGTGGCAGGGGCGTGTGGGGACGATTGGGACTGCGTGACAAAGGGGAGGTGGCAGCAATGCAGCGCCGGGGGGTGGGGGGGGAAAAAAAACAAACAAAAAAAAAAGTGCTCCAGTCGTGGGGGGTGAATGGAAAGGGGATAAATCCTGCGTGTGGGGCGATAAATCCTGCCACCCTGAGCAAATCCCGGTGCGGGCAGGGGTGGGAGCACCCCGGCAGCGGGGCGCGGGGCGTGCGGCTGCTTTAGGGGAGGGAGGTGGGGGGGTCACAAAGGATGGACGAGCCTGGGAGGATTTGGCCGTGCACTTGGCACAGGGTCAGGGAAAGGCTCGCTGCTCCCCCTCACCAACTGCCCCGGGGAGCTGCGTGGAAACCCGATTCTGGGGTGCTGTGGTATGTGCGTGTGTGTGTGTGTGTGTGTGTGTGTGTGTGTCCCCAGGGACGTGACGCTGCAGAGCAGCTGGTGCCGCGCAGGGACAGCTTGCAGGTCATTCCGGAGGACGCAGCCGTGGCACGGGGAGGGTGAGGACGTGAGGACACGCCGTGTCACCCCGCAGCAGCAGAGCCTGGCCCCGTGCAGGCGGCCTGGAGGCAGAGCAGCCAGTTTGGCCGGGGCGCTGGGGAAAGGGAGTGGAGAAATCCCAAGAGTCCTGCGAAGAGGCTGGGTAAAACAAAAGTTCGCGTGAGCAGTACCTGCAAGGGAAGGGAAATCCTCTGGAAATGCCTTAAGCCTACCCACAAAGTGCTGAGCTAAGAAAGAAGGATGGTAATTCACTCGGCTTTTCACAGGCAGGTTTGGCTGCTGTGTAGGGGCGCCCCGTGGGTCGGTGCGATGCGAGGGGACTTCTTGCACGTCCACAGCACTCCCTGGGCATGCAACACAGCTGGAGGGGCTCCAGATTCCACCAGGCCAGTTTAATCCCTCTGAAGATGCCCGCGCTGGTTGAAAAAGGGCAAATCGCCCTCTGGTTCGGGCTTTATCGCTGCTGGAGTGGCGTTGGGTCCTGCCAAAGTAAAGAGGGTTTTATTAGAGCTACGGCTGCCTGTGACGAGACCCGGGTTTCTCTCCAAGAAGCTGCTGAGAAGCAGAAGCAGCGCTGGGGTGAGAGTGATGTTCCTGTGGGATTAAGAGGTCTGCAGGAGAGGCAGAGCCGCGGCCAGCTGTCATCAGCTTTTCTAGAGGGCTTGGGCAAACCTGAGCAACCCGCAGCTGTGCAGAGCACCCTTCCCGCAGGCTCAGGAGGAGCACTGAAACCCCTGGGATGCAGCTTGCTGCCTGCCACAGGAGCTACGGAGGAGCCGGCTGTTCGCTTGTCTGGGGAAGATTGCGTAGGTAGGGCTGCTCCTCTGCTTAACGTCAGGCAGGGACAGAGTGTGAGCAGAGAAAAAGGTCAAAGAGCGGGTGTGGAGGAGGCAAGAGGTGGCAGCAGTGTGGTGTAGGGGACCGCGGGATCAACAGAGGCGGGTGCATTCCCTGGTGTGAATAGGACTGAGAGGTTCAGGGAGGTAGGATACCCTTTGCTGGGTACCTCACAATTTGCAGAGCACATTTAGGTCTTTGGGTTGGTAATTCATCATCTTTCTCAATGCTAAGTGTGAGTGGTGAAAGGTTTATCACCACGGGCCACAACAGCATATATGCAGCAGCACCGGTTCAAAAACCATTCCCGTGACCCTTCAAAATTAAGGAACTGGCTTAAAAAAATAATGACACAAGAAATAAAAGCCCTCAATATTCTGTATTATTTTAACACTCCTCCAATTTTCTGGGGGTCTTTACAGGTCATGCGTGCAAGCCCTCCACCGTAAGGTCTAGAACCACTTGCCTTTCAAATAAAAGCTGGGGTGAGTATGAATAATCACCTGTATTACCGTGGCATCGAGGCCCACATTCCCTTGTGCTAAGCACGGGACAAACAGAACAGAAAGACGTTTCCTGCCCCAAAGCAGTTCTCCTGTAATCATGTTAGAGACATGTGGGCTGTGGCATAATCAAGCGCTGTAAGACCTGTGAGAAAGTCTTCCATCTCAAATCCGACTCCAGCTCTCTGGAAAACCATTAGCAGGACCTGCCCCTGATTTTTTCCGAAGGACAAAGCCCACAATCTCCTGAGTGCTCTTTCCTATTCCCCCTATAAAATTCCTCAGTGTGTTGCTAAGCCCCATAAGCAGTAAGGTACCCAGAGGCTTGGAGGGGTAAATCCCATTTCCCCACTTTCCCCCGATCTCTGTCTTCTGTCCTCTAAGCTGTCAGCCTGCACTCCGCTTCTTTGCTTTCCCAAAGGAACCTAAAAATAAATAAATCCAAGAAAGAGCAGAAAAAAAGAAAACGCCACCAGCCCCCAAACCAGCGTGCTTAGTCATTCATGATGAGTAAAAATAGTTTCCCAACCGAACAAATTGCTGAGCCAACCAGCTGAGCAAGTCACCTCCGTAAGCGAGGGGTCTCATCCGCCCGCTCCTTGGGCAGGTCCTTGTCTGAAGGGGCTTTTGGCAAAGCCCTGAGCAGAGTTGGTTGAAGGATCAGGCCCATGAAGACAGCCCTGAGGGTCAGGGCCAAGCGCCCTTACTATTCAAGGGGCTGTGTAATGAAAAATTGTCTCTTCTTTCCATCAGTAGAGACATTTAATAAAGCGTGAGTTATTAAATTGTCACGTGCCCAGAGTTGTGCAGAGACGGTGCAGTAAACTGGGGGGGGGGGGAGGGTGTAAACCCGAGGATTTGCTGGGCAAGATAATGTGGGGCTGTGCACAGGCTGCTGCTCTCTGTGCCCTGCTGGAAACCCAGGGTGGACAATCCCGGCTCTTGGCCAAGATCAAGCCTCAGATTGTCCCCGCTGAGACACAACGTTCAGTGCTCATGGCACGATTAAAGGCTTAGGCACAATCCCCCCAGCAGGAACAACGCCCTTGTATTCTCGTCGATAAATGTTTGGCAGCGGATGACTTGTTCTCCCCTTGGGCTGCCGAAGAATGGTGGGCTGCCTGATTGGTTTTCAGGATCCAGCCAGCCCTTTTGGGTTAAATCCACCTCTTTTAACATCGGAGAACAGCTGATTGGGGTATTAAGGCATCCTGGGGGAAGAGAGACTGGGGATGCGCCAGTGGGGGAATCAGTTAAGCTGCGTGCTTAGATCTGCGCTCAGAAGATGGGATGGGACTTGGCTGCATCCGTCTTGCTTATGCAGATGATGCTTTTTTCAAAGTAGGGATTACCTCTTATCTTCCACCTGGCACATGGGGCCTTCATTCTGTATCAGTCTCCAGCTCCCATACAGCAGTGCTAAGACTAAAAATCACACAGCCAGGCAAGAGGGATGGATTTTTCCTCTATTTTGGAAAAAAAAAAAAAAAAAAAAAAAAACAAAAAAACCCAAACCAAACCATGTTCTTCACCACCAGGCTCTGGGAGCATAAACTCCACATCCTAGTGAGTTTTAAGCTGGACTTAGTAACTGGAGTTCCACTTGGGCTGCTACAGGACCACTCTATGTCACAAATTGAGCAGGAGTGTGTCCTAACTGGCCCAGAGGACCAGGAGACACCCGAGTACCCTGTTGGAAGACCACCCTTGGCAACACCCAGCTGGGGAAGCTGTGGCCCCAGGAGAAGGCTGCAGGGTAGGGGACAGATGTTAGGAGTGCCTGCTGCCCCGGTGGTGCTGGGTCAAGCAGGTGACACTCTCATGTCACCCTGCAGAGGCCGAGTTATGCTTTAATGCATGGAAAAAGGCAAACCCGACAGGCTCCCAACATGTTTTCTTATCAGAGAGAAGGGAAAAGTCTTCTGAAACACCCATGAGTCCACAAAGGTGGGCGACCAGATGTAGTGGGACAACAGGTCAGAGAGAAAGTCTGGCATCTCAAACCACTTCAGGAAAGACCACACCCAGAGTTAAGGGGGAAATACTGTATTTTCTTTTCAATTTTCTATGATGAGATAATAATCCTGACAGCAAATTAATAATAAAAAAAAATAGTCACATGGTTAGAGTTTGGTTTAAAAATACAAATAAAAGAACAAGGGGAGGAGGCCCATTCAGGGAAGAGTACCACGAACCAGTCCTCCAGCCGACCATGGCCCCATGGCTTGCTCCAGGGGGGGCTGAGCTGCACGTCCCGCTTAAATCGGACACCAAAGATGTTCCAAACCCACTGCCAGCCCCATGTAAGGCTTCCCCCCCTCCCCAGCATCGGGTCTCACGATGAGGAAGCTGCCTCCGCGATGAAGAAATCCTGCAGCTGGGAAACGACGTAGGAGGACTTGGAGGAAGCTCTGGGCACTTAATTGGTGTGGAACTGGGGCTCTCCGGAGAGGTGCTGAGTATCTGCTGATTTTGGAGTACCTAGAGATGGTCTTATTTTTGGTAACATGCTACTGTTCTCTAACCAGCCTGCAACAGATGGCCTTAGGCGTCCGGATGCAGGGTTGCAGGTGAAGATCACGAGGAGGCAGAAGCAAGCTTTCGGAGCAGCATTTGTCACGTCTGGGGTTGCAGGGGACAAAAGCGCGTGCCCTCCGTGTGCCCAGGCCTGTCCCCACTGCCCTGGGCAGACCCCTCCGAGGCGCGATTACAAAGCCAAACTGATCAGCTGCAGCGGGTGGGGACAGGGGATCCGCAGGCTGTTCTCCCACAGCTCACCTCGGGACCTCTTCCCCACCCGTGCCTCTGGTGCTCGTGGTGAATTCAGTGTTGGGGATGACGTATATGCATTTCATCAGGCCTAACCATCTATTCACCCACTGCCCAAAGACCTTTCTCGGGAATTTCCTTGGCCCCACCAGTACTGCTAGCAGGGTTATCGGTGAATTTGGGGGAGCCAGGATTTTACTTGTCTTGTTTTGCCTGGTCTGGGGTCACAGCCAGTGCTGATCTGGTCCTCCTGCCACCCTCAGCTTTGCCCCCACCTGCCACCACTGCCTAACTTCAGAACCTGATCCAGTGCACCGGAAAATCGAAGAGAGTCTTTTACTCGCAGCAGGGGCTGCAATTCTTGGCAGACTCTCTTCTGCTTTCCAGTACTGCTTAAAACTCACTTTATTGTCCTCCCAGATGCAGATCTCGGCTCTTCGACCACAGCTAAATCAGCCACAACCTCTCCAAAGCAGGATTGTGCCTCACTGTTTGCAACACAGGATGGACCATGAGCAGAGCTCTCACCAGTGTTAGGAAGGTGGAAAGCAGGTAAGGAGGGTGTTAAAGGCAGTTGGGTTTAGGGACAGGGCACCAGGGAAAGCAAATGCAAGTCCCGAAGCTGCCACAGCACCCTCCTCCTGCCCAGAAGGCTTGCTGGCTCTCCCAACTGTCTCTTGAGTTTTGGGCAGTTCAAAATGCTGTGAATAATGTTTCCAAAAGGTCTTGTGTGGCTGACAAACACCTACAGATTTTATCAGTGTGATTTCAGCTCGCAGTTGCTTTAGGAAACATTATTCTCAGTTCACTGACTGCAGAGGAAGCTGGGAACATCTGCGGTTTGGGGAACCCGGGAGAAGTTCACCAAACTCTAGAGAACCTGTGTCAAGTGACTTTGCTCAGCAGAAAGCCAGGCCTTCATGGCCATGAATTCAACTGACCTCTATTAAATCCTATCTTGAGCCCCTTTATATTCATGCTCTCCCCCACGAGCCCCACTGGCTGGAGTTCCCCTACAACCCCCTGTCCTCTTAGGTCAGGCATGCAAATGTCATGCCTCCAGCTCTCTCACTAGTGCCATCACTACACAAAAAAACACACCACCAGAGCCCTCTGGCTCTGAAACTCAACCCTTGGGCCCTGTCGCGACAGCCTGGGACGTGCTCTCCTAGGACCAAGTCAGCACAAACCTGTTGAGAAACACCCTAGCAGGCCCCGCATCAACTCACCGCAGAGGGGTGATGAAGACTGACTCTCCCCCACCTCCTGCTCCCCCGCTTCATCAGTGAAAAAGAAAGACGTAAATAACGTGCCCAACAGCATTCCCCAACCCTCGCCCCCAGCGCAGAAGCCCAAACCCAAGAGCAGCCACACAGCCTCCCTGCAGGAACAGAGGTGCCAGGGGGGTGGCTCCAGCCAGCTGCCCCCTCCCCAGGAAGAAGACCAGGGCTGGGAGACATGAGAGGGCCTTGTTCAGCTCTGAGAATCATTCTTAAAATCAAATACTGGAAGACCTAGCAGTAAAGCAAGGGGCTACTCCCTCTGGAGTTGTCAACTAGAGACCTCCCAGCACCACTTACTCAGAGAGGAAAAAGTAGCTAGCAGGGCACTAATGACTATTTTCCATGTAATTTTAAGTCAAGTTCTGTTTCTTTTACCTTTTTTTTTTTTTTTTTTTTCTCTCCGCTCACTGGGTTTCTAAATCCTGGTAATCTTTCTCTATGGCTCCTGTGTGTGTGTAAGTGTGTGTGTGACAGAGGCAGTGGGGGTCAGGTGCTTAGGCACATTTGGCAAAGCCAACAGAGTCGTTATCACGGTCAAAGACGGTGTAGTAGGGACCAATGAAGACATCTCCCAGGATCCAAAGTGGGCCCCCAGGGGGTGGGACATCCAGGCCTGAAAAGCCACTCAGGCAGATGGTCTCTCCTTGTACAGAAACCTAGACAGAAGAGTGAGAGCTTCAATCTGAGGAGGTCCTCAACCTCGCAGGCTGGGCAATAACATCTGCCAACACCAGCTGTGCTTCAGCCTTTCCCGGTCTGAGAACCACAGCTTGGAAAAATAACTCTCAACCCACCCCTCCAAACCCAGCTGCCCCTCCCAGAGCCCTTTCACAGCAAAGGATCGGGTAAAGCCACACGTGCCCATAAACCTCCCAGCCCACGCAGCTTTGAAGTAGAGCTGTTGCCAAAATTCTGCACAAAACGATCCTTGCAAGTTGACTCTGACGGCTTAAATGCCAGGCTGGTGACCTCTGCTACGATAAGGCTGGCCTCATGGCACCAGAATCCAGCACAAAAGGGCAAAATGTTTGCAGACAGTGATGCAGCAGCCTGCCCGCCCTTCCTTTCCCATCCTGCTATCCCTCATGAGCATCATGCAGAGGGTCTCGTTCCTCCAGGACTTTGGGGTGGTGGCACCGCAGGCAACCTCACCATCACTCCACAATTTCAGGCTTCTTCCCAAGTGCCAGCTCCAGCCTTGCTTTTGCTGCTCTTGTGTTTTGGATTTTGTGGTTGAGGTTTGAGTGAGGGAGGCAAAAGTTAAGCCTTTGGGGGAGAAGAGTAGGGCTGGCAAAAGCTGCCTGGACGTACCTTGAAGATGTACTGCTCTCCAGTGAGCTGGTAGGGCTTCCCTCCTAGTGTTAACGTGACGACAGGCAGAGATGACACCTTATCACAGGGGATCACGTACTGAAACAGCAACAGTAAAGACTTTAGATGGCAGCTCCCACACCCTGAGGAAAGGGCAGAGTCTCTGCCGGGCACAATCTCGTCTTTGCTGTGGTCTTCCCCAAAACCAGCTCATCTCAGGGTGCTGAAGAGACTTGAGCTGGGGTAAGCAGGCTGCTCCCTGCCCAGGGCTGCAAGCTGAGGGGCCAGAGGGTTTTAGTGATAGGGATGGAGCCAAAGGCTCAGCTTCTGGCTCTGCTGAGCCCCAGGGCACGGCACGCGATGCGGCAGGGCTGGGGGTCTGTCGCAGGGGGGGAGAGACGTGGCTCAATACAGCCTAGAGACATAGAGAGGGACTTGCGGTGTGACAAACAGACAAAGCTGGTTTAATTAACACTGGGGCAAGTCCTGGGGAGGGTGGCAGCTCTGCGCCAGCTGCTGCTGCAGCACCGGGTCTCCGACACTGCAGAAAAGCCCTACAAGTGCTCATGGCTCTGGGATTTGGGAGGGGTTTTAGAACAGAGCATCCTTCCCAGAGGGCTTTTATAATCTCTGTTCCTCCACAATTCCAGGGAGGAGAGATGACTTTGTGAGATTAGTTACGATGGTTAAAAACTTGGCAGGGAAGGGTTGTCATCTGCATCAAATATATTTGTATTAAAGTGCTTCTGGACTCACATTAATGTGAATCTTTGGCCTCAGCTGCAACCCAAACCCTTTTCCTCTGCCTCCCAGAGATGGGTGGCAGAGGTGACCCAAAACCTCCCACAGTTCACAGGACCTGGCCCTCTACTGAGAGCATGAGCAGGGCAGTGAATGCTACCCAGGGGTCAAAAGACAGAGGGACCCCTGCTATGCCAGGGGCTTTTCCAGGAGCACGGGCTGGGAACAGGGAGCAGAAGACTAGGGTCTCTAGAAGCACCTGGGTTCAAAACAGGGTGTCACCATGGATGCCACAATGGCCACGGACTCCCACTTTCCCAGCCTGACCTCACCTGGCCTTTGATGAGTGGTTTTGCACCGATGGCTGTCTGCAGCTCCTTCACTTCTTTGGTGGGGCCGGTGATGAGTGAGGTTCCCGTGTCCACGATGGCCTCGCAGCCCCCTTTGCACAGAGTCAGCCCGCTGGCAACGTCCACCCTGGGGAGAGACACCCAGACAGAAGAGAACCCTCAGAAGCCTCCCGGTGAAGGCTGCAGGAAGCAGCAGGCAAAGAGTTGAAGATGGCCGAGCCTGGGCAGCACGCAGGAACGCAAGGGAGGGCTGTGACAGAAGCCCAGAAATACTGATGCAGCACCCACTCAGGGCACGGACCCCCCTGGCTCCCGTGACCTGCTCCAAATTGAGTGGGTGCTTTGAGCTGTTACTGCATTTCTGCAGAGAGCCCGGAGCGTTGCCTGCGTACCCTGCCTGCTACCTGCACGCCAGAGCAAGCACCGCAGCTAACGGGCACGTGAGCGACCCAAGGGCAACGCACCAGGGACTCGTATGAGCTGTGCTGCTGCACGAAGCAAAGGGTTAAAGGGGTGGTGTGACAGCTGAGGGGGGTCGTGGGCAAGGGAAGCGTTCCTGTCGGGAGCTGCTTAGCTTCCTCACCTGCACCACTCTTCAAAGCAGCACAGACAGAAAAATCCTTCCAGCCAAGGGTCTGCCACACTTTGCCAATGCGGCAGGCGCTGGGGGAAAGACGACAACTAAAACCCTGCGCTGGGGAGGGATGCGATCCCCAGGAAAAGGACACGCTCTGATCAGGCCGCTTTTAAGTTCTCATCACGTGGGAGAGCTCAGAATAGACCGTGGGGCTGGCGGCCGGCAGCTCAGCCCGCTCTCCTCCCCTCTGCCTCCAACAATGCGCGCTGATTGCCGCGCCGTGCCCTTCAGTCAAGGGCTGGCTTCCTGGGGCCTCATCCTGCTCCTCCGGGGCTGTGTGCCAGTGAGCCACACAGCTCAGGCCTCGCTGAGAGCTGAGCAAAGCCAGGGCTTAATCCGTGGGGCTCGCCCTGCCCACAAGAACATGCTGGCATTTTTCTCCCCCCTTGGCAAGGGTGCAGCAGGGGTTTTCAAGGGCCAAGCCATAAACAAGAGGAAAGGATTCTGCAGAACATCTCCTACTGTTTTCTGCCTCTCCGCCCCTTCCAGCAACACACGACCCAGCCTTAGGGTGGGATTTTAATCTGCTTTTTTTTTTTGGTGTGGATGCGTTGCAGGGATAGAGATGATTCCTTTTCGGGGAGGGTCTCAGCCCAGCCCCAGCTGTGAGCTGTCTGCACACACGTCCCCACGCATGATGTCACGTGGAGGGGGGACTTACGCATCCATGTGGACCTGCCAGTAGGCCTTGCGTGTGACGTTGACCCAGCTGAAGTCGCCGCTGTAATATTTGGGGTCGGTCCCTCCCAGGAGCAGCTCGCCACCAGGCTGAGCAGTGGGATCTCTGAAAAAAAAACAAAACAAAACAAAAAAACAACCAAAACACTCAAACCCGTGAACATCAGGGACAGGGTGAGAATAATCCCCTCCACGTGCCCTCAGAATACATGCCAGGGTGCTTGGGGGTGAAACATGGCATTAGCAGCATTCGAGACAGATGACTTACATTGCACTATAACATGTCAATATAAGGGCAGATACTGCAAGATAGCCTGAGGTGGGGAAATGGGAATATTTTGGCCCAGCCAAAGCATCCCACAGCTTTTCGCCCGGTGCTTTCTTACAGGCACCTGAAGAAACTTGCTGCAGGGAAGTGGGACGGCAAAGGGGAACTGAGCACCGATGCAAGGAACCCCCCCAAATAATCAGTTTGTAACAAGCACCCGTGCAGGGCTGGACATGGCTGATGCAACGTTAGGTTATCTGCACTCAACTCTGCGCCAGCCAGCAGCCTCGGAGCCGAATCCTCAAGGTTACCATCAGATAAAAGCTCGCTGCTGAGCAGATGGGAAGAAATATGGTGATGGGGGAGGGCTGGCGCTTGAACGGGCAGCAGCAGCCCTCTCTGCCCTCCCGGCGTGCTACTTTCTGGGCTGAAGTAGTTCAGAGTCTGCCCCCTGCGGTGCCAGGAGGGCCAGGGGGTGTCCTGGGGGGAGCAGCAGTAGGTGGGAAGGCACTGGGAGCTGCAGAGGAGGATTCCCTGGGGAGTGAGGGAGCATTAGCCCCGTCACCAGTGGTGACTGGTGGGGGGCACGTTTGCCGGGGAGGTGACACGGTGGTGGCCACGTGGCTCGTGGGTTTTGGCAACAGACTGGGGCTGTGTTTACCCCCCTAATGGGGACTGCACTAGCAGCGTGCAATCTTGTGATCACAGCCCGGTTTATTTTTATTTCTCTCCCCTCTGGAAACATCCTCTGTCTCTTCATCAGTGAAGAAATCTGGTAGCAGATCTACTCAGCTTTTGATCAGCAAAGCGGCTGCATTTCTACTTCCCCTCTTCTTACTTCAAAGCAGCAAACAGAAGAGATTTTGGCCCGACTGCTCCAGCAAGGAGAGCTTGCTGAGGCTTCCCTAAGGGTGCTAGAGCCAGGGTGTAAACCAGCACACAGTGAGAGGTGCTGTGGGGAGGTATCAAGAAATGCCTGGATGGGCTTGCCCTCGCAATGACAAGTGTGCCACCGAACCCAACGCTACCTGTTCAGGTAGAAGGAGAAGATGTTCTTCTCGATCAGCTTCTGTTCCATGATGTTATCGAAGAAAGGGGTGACCTTGTCCACAGAGATCCTGGGGAATGCCATGCCCAGGATGCCATCGAACTTGGCAGCGATGAACGTGATGCCTGGCTGCTTCATGGCCTCGCCGAAGATCTGGTTCTTGATTTTCAAGTTACCGAGCTGAGGGGAGATGGGGAGGGAAGGGAAAAGCAGGTTGTAAAGAAAACTGGCTCAGGGTAGTCGGCTGGAAACAGGATCTCACTGAACGCAGGCTGTAGCGCATCGCTCAGCGCGCTGCCACACTCCTGCCTGCCTTCACCCTTGCATTTGTAGGCAGACGCAGAAATCAGACACCCTGGTGCCACTCTCCTGGAGAGGAGGGGGGTGGGCCAGGCCATTCTGGCTGCACAGTGCCACCTCCTGAGCCCCTGCAAAGCTCAGTGCACCCCTAAGGGCAGCAGCCTCCCTTCGCTCTTCCTCCACCTCACTCAGCCCTTTCAGCCTTTCGCTGGGTGCCAGCACCGACCGTGCCATTTTGCAGCTCCTCCCCTTTGCACAGAGGGCCTTATGTCACTTTGTCCCCCCTACATGCCTTCCTCTGTTGCCTACTTCATCCTTTCCTCCCAGTTTGAAAAGCTCTTATGCTGTGCCTTTAATCCTCTTCCCCACCCTGGACATGTAAGCGATCTCCGTGTCCTACCTTCTCGGGTGCTACACCCGTCCCCAGCTGGGAGCACAAATCCCTCTCACCTCTGCCAGTGACCCCTGCGATCTCTCTTACATCAGAAACATCCCCAGGATATTGCTGCATCTCTCGGAAGAGCCACCAGCCTGCAGAGACCTCCCGGGGGAGGGGAGAAGACCCGGCCAGGAAAGCGAGGTTGAGCCTGAAGCACGAAAATAGCAAGCGGAGTACTGCAAATGCAAAGGTCACCTCTCTTGCCAGCCGTGAGAAGGGCTGGTGTTCCCTGCTGGAAAGCTGAAACGCCTCACAAGGGCAGATCCCCGGAAAGAAGGAGATCGCAGAGAGCAGGAGAGTGCTGCTGACAGGGAGCAGGATGTGTCTGCTGGCTCCTGGCTCTACCAGTTCAAGAGGTTTTCAAGCTTCTGGCTGACCACGGGCATTTTTAGCATCCGTGCTAGGACAATTTCAGCCTCTCAGCCTGCAGCTAGCAGCCCTGTAGTGAACTGGGCTGCACTGAAAAGTTGGCATCTCCTACCTGATGGCAGATAACGATCCCTGTACATTACTAATATCTCCCCAGGGTTAGTGCAAGGCTGGGATGGGCAGTGCTGGCTTTAATGGTATCGGAGGCTTGTGCTAGGAAAAGGCGATCGAGCCTTGCAAAAGCTAAAAGCCACAGGGCAGGATGTGGGGTGAAACAGCTCACAGCAACGCATCCGCTCGCCAGCGCGTGGGGAGCGCCCCAGTTGTAGGCCGTCGGTTTACAAAAGCCACCACTCCACTACTCGGCACAGCTGGTCCTGCAGCAGCTCAGAAAGTTCAATAAAGCTTCCACTTAGGGGGGGGAAAAACAAAACAGAACAAAAAAAAAAAAATGCAACGGACTGATAAAACTGAGCGCCAGGTTTGTTTGAATGTTGTCGTGGTTGCGCATGCCAAGAGGGAGGCAGCTATCTGCCAGGTGGTGGGGTCTCAGCAGACCCTGCTCGCGCTTGGTCCTCGGCAGGACTGAAACCCATCTTTAGCAGAGCGCTGGTGCCAGATCCTTCGTCTCTGTCCCTCGGCTGGCTCCCTCCCAGACACGTGGCGACTGAAAATCACCACCCGTGGATGGCTGTGTGGTGGCTGTCCTCCAGCGCTTTGCAGCCAAGAAGGCAGCCTAGAGCCTCCGCGGCACCGTTTGGCACCAGGGCTTGGGGCTCCCCTCTGCAGAGGCGAGGAGGGACATCTCCTGCACTGCAGCCCCAGGAGGGACCTCGTGCCCCATGGCCAGCGATGTTTCCTCTGCTATCCTAGAAGGACATCCCAAGGTTGGGCTGCGAGGAAGGGATGAGATGCTCCAGCAGCAGAGGGCTGGCTGAACCCCTGGGCTCTTCGGGGAGCGAGCAGCCCCAGGGAGTGTGGTGCTACTGGGCAGCATTCCTCCGCAGGAGGAGAGGGGATGTTCGACATGAGCTCGTCACCAAAAAAAATTTCAGGGCTGAGGGACCTTGAACCACCTGTCAACCAGCGCCTTTTGGTCAGATGCCAGCGCTACCACAGGCTGCTGTGGCTGCTGCCACCCATCAGGATGGCTGGAGCTGCGAGGGTCACCCCGAAGGCTGTTTCAGTGTCTGTCTTTCCAGACTAGACCCGACTGGGAGCTAGCCTACAGGACGCTGTGCATCAGAGGAAGCATCCTTGGGTCCAAGCTGAAGGCCCCGACCCTCCGAGTCACCCCTGCCCCTGCGTACTGCAAGCATGATGCTGTTCAGGCTCCATGCAAGAGGTTTCTCTTGCTCCTGCCCAGACAGAAACCAAATGCTACAAGCTGTGTGCTGGCTGCCAAGAATCATCCCTACTTCCCAAATAAGCTCAGGCACAAAATCCTTCCTCTGAGCCACCGGGAAGCGGAGAGCTAATTAGCAAGCAGGCATTAGGGTGATAATTACAAAAAAAAAAAAAAAAAAAGCTGCACTTTTCCTTCTGACTCACTTCAGCCCCTGCATTAAGCCGGAAAGTGCCTAAATCAGCCCACACCACTTTCACAGGACAATAAAGTTCACTGTTTGCCTTGTTGCCCCGCTCCATTATTGGGATGACTGCGGTTGCCTCTGCCTGCTCCATCTGGATTTAGCAAACCTGATGTATGAGAATCCACTAATGCTACATACATGGTGCTTTCATTTGGTGAGAGCCACAGGAAGGCTCAGATGGGCGGCTTTTTTTGAGGCGGGGTGTTTCTAAGTGAACCGAGGGATGCAGGAAAAAAAAATGGCATGAAACAAAACTCAAACGGTCCCGAAGCTTGGTGAGCTGCAGGAGGCAGAGAGCAAAAACAGAGGTACAGAAGTGCAAAGCTGCCAGCGGCCCCTGCAGCTCTCCCCAGCAGGCTCGTCTGCACTGAATTTCAGGGTTCACCTAACCCATGAAAAGCCCTCTCCCCCAAAGAGGGTCCTGCACCCAGCCTGAGCTGCTGGCATCTTTGGTCACAGCACAGAGGCATCAGCTGGTGCTTCCAGGCTAGCCTGAAATTTTCCTGCTATAAGGACAGACTAAAGAGTGCTCCTTGCATGAGGCTCCTCTTGGATATTTTTCTTTTGCTCCCAATGAAATTGGTAAGCCAGTACTTTCCACCCAAACTTAACCCCCAAATCCCTAGATTTATGTGCTTATTCAAAACTTAATTGCTTTGTCTCCCCCACGCAAAGCAAGCATTTGCTCTTATCCCTGCCAGGAGACCAAGTAATCTGGGAGCACGTGCACCACTGATGTCCAGCAGCTGGCAAACTCTCACGAGCATCTGTACCTGAGAGGCAGTCGTGACAGGCGCCTGTCCTTCACAGGACAGAAAGCTCAGCTTTTGCTCGCTGAAAAGGAAATGATGGGAAGAAACCACCAGCATCTAGGCTGCCTCAAGTTGGGCCCTGAACCCTGCTGGGAAACCACCCCCAGGCGTACCCAGCCTTTGCAAACACAAGCACTGGTTTTTGATGCGAGACCAGGATGGGGCAGCGAAGAGCCCGTTTCTGGTCAGAGTTTGGGCAGCTGCCCACGTGGACGTCCACTGCCGCGTGGATATTGTCCAGGAACGAGCTGGGCACCACTAGCAGCCTGTGTGGGGGTGCTGGGGTGTGCTTGGGCTGGGAAATTTCCAGGGTCAGGAGGAAGAAGGTTGGAGGGGTGGCCAGAAACAATGTTTGCAGGGCACCGTGCGTGCAGTCCACGCTCCTACCCTGCTGATTAATACCTTCCCCCTTCTCTGCCTGCCTGGGTCACCTCCTCAGTCCTCATCACCACCACGTTTCAAAGCACTTGGAAACACGGCGCCGAAGCATGCTCTATATGAGAAGGACACCCAAGAAGGGGGACCCGTTGAAATCAAACAGCTCTGCCAAAAGCGGGTTGGGGCAGCCCAGGGCAAGGGCAGTTGTTACTCACCGTGACCGTGTCCTGGCTGAGGTACCCGGAGAGGCTCCCTGTCCCGTAGTGGATGGCAAACTCGGTGCCGTTTTCCACGTAGGTGCTGGATTTAGAGGCATCGTATTTGTGGTGCAGCACTGCAGCCAGGGAACGGGACACAGGGGGACACACAACATTAGTGCTCCTCGATACCCAGGGCTCCCCGACACCTAAGCCCACGCCACCCAGCTCATCCGGACGAAGAGACACTCAAAGATGTGAAGGTGGGCCCCAACCCAGCATTTGCCAAGCCCAGACTGCTTAACCAAGCATTTCCAATGTCTGGGGAATTAGGTGGGCAGATCCAATTTGGCTGTTAAATCGGATTTGGCTACTGGGTATTAAAAACCTAGAGGCTACGTGGCTGGTGTGTCAGGGTGTGTTAAGACAGCAGAGCGAACGTCCCCCTCCATGCCATGGAAAACCAGGGTGGCTTTAAATATAGCCTGCTCTGGGCATGAACATTTTCACTTTATGGGTTTATCTGTTTCTTTTACTAAGAATAGCTGGAAATCTTTTTCTACGGTCATTGTTTTTTGCACAGAGAGGGCTCAAAATATTCTTTTATTTGCAGAGGAGAAGGGCTTTCCCCTAGTCTAAGCTGCTTTTCCCCTTGGAAGGGTTGGGAACTGTAAGATATGCATGGTTTTGTGGCCAGGCAGATTCCTCCTCCACAGATTCCTCCCGAGTCATGAGTTGGGCAGCAGCGAGTGGCAAGCTCGGCCAGCCCGGCTCCACAGCTGCTCACTCGGCAGGGCAGACAGAGGCTGAGGATGAACCCTATGGAAACCAGTATGCTAGACAGGGACTTCCCCAGCTGGATCCCAGCCTGGCAGGAGATCAGGCTCCTTGCATACTCCTAAAACGAGCCCTTCGGTCCCAGCACCTCCCATGACACCGCCTTGAGAAACCAGCTCCCTGCTACAGATCAGGAACACACCAAGACAGACCAGCTCTGGACCTCCCTACCCTCCCAGTGCCCTAAATCTCATTGCACGTATGCAAAAAGCAGGTGTCTCCTATCTGGGCACTACCCATACTAGAAGTTCCAGATTTCCTCCCTACCCTCAGCAAGCACTTCACATGAGCTGCGTTTCATGGCTGCATTTGTTAGCTCCACAGCTTTCTCCACCCTGCTTAAGCAGCACAGCTGGTGGCTTTTAAATGGCTTTTTGCCATAGCCAGGTTTGACACCTTCAACTGTGGAGGTTTATTGCGTAGGAACTCCACGGAGCAAAAAAACTTGTAGTCCCCATGACATTCTCATCTCACTGTGTCTACCTGGCTCTTGTTAATTATAAATCCATAAACATGCATGTACATGTTCTGTGCAGCAATAAACCAGAAACTAGGACAGTTTGTATCAGATCTGGCAAGAAGCTGATTTTTTTCACCAGCCTTGCGCAATGGGGCAACAGCAGCGTCAGTCTATAATTTGGGGGAAAACATCACAACCTGTGATGCTGCTCCCCAGCTGCAGGGCCAAGGCTGTTGGGGAAGGTTTGAAGTTGTGCGTGGGTGACGTGGAGGGGAAAAACAGGAAGGGAGTAACGAAGGATGGATGTGGGAGGTTGGGATCCTATTTCCAGCTCTGAGCCTAAAGAACCCATTAGCCTCTGGCAAGCCCTTTCATGCTGCTGCCTCAGTTTCTCCTCGTACAACGCCAGGATCTGCATTTTGCAGGGAAGGGGAGGCCCTTGAGCCGTGGCTGGCACTGGTGACACTTACAGCAGGCGATGTCCAGCAGGTGACAGTGCACAGATGGCACCCAGAGGTTGGAGGAGCCAGTGTCAAAGACCACAGTGAACTTCTGTGGAGGGGTCCCAATACCAATCTCGCCATAATACTGGGCCTGCAAAGGAGGAGAAGGGAGTCATGAGCACAGGCAGGCAGCTAAAAGCGGGGATTAAAGACTAAAAACATCCCTTAGGATTGAAAAAGGGACCAGCTTCTTATCTAGACACTGCCCTCTTGTTTTTGGCAGTGATGGGCTCCCAGCCTTTGCCCTTTGGAAGGGAGGCTCCCCTTCAGTGTTCACACCTCATTACAGCAGGTGTGAAAAGGATAAATCGGGAGGAGAAGTGGGATGGGTGCTTGTGGGGGTGGACTTTTGGGGCAGGAAGGCAGGGCAGAAAAGAAGGGGGAAAGGCTGCAAGCTGGCATGCGGTTCACTACAGGGAAGAGAAAAAAAGATGGGAGGAAGGCAAGCAAGACACCTGCATTACTGAAAAGCTGAAACTGGCTGGGTAGCTGCTTTGCTGGCAGGTTTGCAGAGAAACTGTGGGTTGCAACAAGAGCAGCTCTGCCCACTGCAGGTGGAGATACAACTGCTGGGGCTTTTGATGCCTGCTGGTCAGCCCCTGGGGTGGGGAGGAATAAACAAATGCTCGGCTGTGGGCACTGCAAGACTTCAGAGGAGCTGGAGGGAGAAAGAGCATCAGCCACACCACCAGAGAGGGATTTAGGGTGGGGCAGTGAGAGTCTGGAGTAAGTCCCTGTAGCACAGATATCTGATGGATACCCCTCTGCCCTGTGAGTGCATCTCTGCTGGGAATGGAAGAAACCTGGGTGGCTAATACGCCAGCAGGGCACCCCTGTATCTAGAGGGGAGAAGATGAGTGGGGAATGCTCAGCAGGTCCTGGATGGACCCATTTTTCCTCCAGCCCTCTGAAAGAAGCAAGGAGCCGTGTCATGCTTGGCAGGCAGCTGGATCACGGCCCTGGAGAGAAGGCTCCTAGCAAGGGAAGTCAGCCTGTGGCCTTCCCAACCCATCTGCGTACTTAATTAACGGGGGGGGGGGGGGGTGGGGTGGGAGGGGGAAGAAGAAAACCGGATTATCAAAGCTGCTCACCTCCAGTGTGCTTAGTTTGCAAGAGTTGCTTGCCGAGTAATTAATAACCCACTGCAGTTAGCCATAATGGGGAGGCAGCACTTGCTTCTAGTGATTCCAGAATTATCTCCGGGGCTTGAAAGTTGACCCCCAGCATATGGGCCCTGTACACCACACACACGGACCTGCGAGGGGTTCCAGGGGCTGGTGGGGCCATACGAGCTGATCTAGGGGAGGTTGTGCCTTTCATCCCAACAGCTCCTCTGGCAGCAAAAGCCTTTTGGGCCAGGCCAGGAGGGACCCAACGGTCCCTTATCTCTCACTGCAGGTTGGGCTGGTTCCCCTGCGACAACGGAGCAGGGTCCTTCCCCGAGCGTTGGCTTGACCTGCGGTCGCGAGACACAAGGCTGTGGCGCAACCGCTAGCGCCCCGGCTTTCGACACCGCAATTAAAACACCGGTAGCTCTTCCCAGCACAGCCCCGGCAGGACAGTGCTGGCTGGGTGACAAGAGCCCCCGGGGAAGGGGAGCGGGGGGGGGAATATTAACGCCCAAATATCTGGCACCAGCTTTATTCTGCCAGCCAGTGCTCGTATCCCACGCCTCCAAGGGCCGCGAGGGTACCTGGTCGGGAACCCAGAAATAGGAAACCTCACACGTGTTTGGCAGCTGAGAGACCAAACCTCATGTCCTTTATCTGGCTTCTCTTTCTATCACTGCTTCCACCACAAAGGTCCCTTTGCTCCCTAAGCTGCTGAGAAGGAGGTGGAGGTGCAGGGTGGCTTTTCCCAAGGCCATGAAAATGAAGGACAGTGAGAGGAAGGGTCCTGCATCCCCAGTCCCATAGCAAGCTGGTGCCCAGTCTGAGCCCTCTTCTCCAGCCCTGTGCTCGCCTTTTTATGCCCCAATGCGTGAAGCATGATTTTTACTCCCCTGTCTTGCAAGAAGCAGAGCCCAAATGGGCCAGAAGATGCTAGGAAGGACTGCAAACGAGCAGGCCCCTATTTATTATCATTAATTAGTGGCAAAGGCAAAATGAAATAGGTCACAGAAGTTGTAAAGCTCCTGCTTGGGTAACAGTGGGTTGTTAGTACAATAATAATTTTTAATATTAGTATTTTTAATTAAGCAATGATGGGAAGCAACTTTCAGCAACCACCACCACGCCGTTGGGGGTGCACGAATCTTTCCTACGGGATCCACGTCTCTCCCTCCTTCACCTCCCCGGCTGTGGTGGGACAGCGAGGCTGGCACGTTCCCCCCCCCCCCCCCCCCCCCAAGGATGGGTGCCCCCCAGAAGTAAGAGGCGCCCGGCCGGCAGCACGCTGCGGGGTGTTACTCACATCCATGTAGTTCTTCAGGATCTCCGGAGTGGGCTCAGCCTGGTCAGCGAAGCCCAGCTTGAACTTGAGGAGCTGGGTGAGGGCGTTCACGTCTGGGATCTCGCTGCCCACCTCGTTCAGCACCCGCCGCATGGAGGGGAACTTGGTCAGGGGGATCCTGCGTGTTGGGGGGCAAAAGCCCACCTGTTAATGGGGGGGGGTGTGGATCCCCTCGGGGAGGGGGGCAGCGAGGCTCCACCGAAACCAGGGGATATGGGGCGGAGGAGATTTGGGGCCCCGCCAGCACCCCGTGCTGGGTCTCTCTCCGTGCCAGGGGGGGGGGGGGTGAGCGGCCACCAAATATCACCGGGAATAGGGGAAGCCGAGCCCCCTCCATGGGTGCCAGCCCTGAACCCCCATCTAAGGGGGGGGGTGTGGGGGTGTCCCAGCGCTGCTCCCCTTGAAGGAGCAGCACCGGGGGGGGGGTGTGTGTGGGGGTGCCACTACCCCAGCACCCAGGCTGCCTGTCCCATGTGTGTCCCCTCCACCAACCCCCACCCCACCGGGCCCCGCACCCCCCGCAGCTCACCTGATGAGGGCCGCGCAGGGCCCGGCCAGGGCGAAGAGGAGGAGGAGGAGGAGGAGGAGGCCGCGGGGCGCCATGGCGGCGGGGACGGGGGTGGGGGGGACAGAGGCCGCAGGGTCCCGCCGCTGAAGGGCCGCGACGCCGCTTCCCGGCCGCCTTCCCGGTTTTTGTAGGAGACGGCGGCCCCTCTCCAGGGATGATGAATTTTTTTTTTTTTTTTTTTTTTTTTTTTTTTTTTGGCCAGTCAGCTGACGGGCTAAAATTGCAACCGGCGGCGTCACGTGAGGGCGGGCGGGCGGGGCGGCGGCACCCGCGGGGGGTGCGGGGCCGCTCGGCGGGGTGCGGGGCCGGGGGTGCCGCCCCCCCCCCCCCCCAAACCTGACCCCCGGCGCCTCGGCCCATGACTCAGCCTCCGGGAAAAGGGGAATAAACACCATTAAAGAAATCACGAGGTGCCCGGCCGACCGCGCGTGCTCGCGTTTGTTATGCCTTTAAGTTCCTTTTTCTTGGTTTAGTTTTTTTTTTTTTTTTTTTTAATTATTTTGTTGTTGTTCTTTCCAGGTTTTCTAGCTTTTCTCGCTTCCCTTCCCTGCGGAGGTATAGCGCGGGGGGGTGGGGGGCACTCCCCAGGCAGCAGCCCCCCCCCTCTGCCTCAGCCTGCCAGAAGCCCGCGGCTCCTCACGGACCTCAGCCGCCCACCCGCTGTCACCAGTGGGGTTTCACGCGGGAGCTGAGCTCACGGGGGTGTCTGCACCCCCCTGCCCAGGGGGGCCGTGGCAGCACCCCAGCCCCAGGGCACCCCTATTCTGGGGGGGCTCATCCCTCCGGGCTGGGGGCTCTGGGGGGAGATGGGCATATCCTGGACCAAAGCTTGTTTGGGAAGGACCGGGGGGGGGGGGGGGGGTGTGCCAAGCCAGATGTGGCCCCCCCTTGACATGCCACCTTGGAGATACTGGGCCATCTACAGCTATTGAGGATGATGCTGGTGCCGTGCAGAGTTGGGGGGGGGGGCAGCCCTGGCCACCTCAGGTCCCCCTCTTCACCCCCCAAATGCAGGGCTCAGTATTTGGGAGCACGGGGACGGGCTCTTTGCCACCACTGGGATGTCACAGCAGGTGCCACCCCACCAGTTTGGGAGGCGGTGGATGGAGCTAATCTCTGCCCAGTTTGCCCTGACCAAGCTCTTACAGAGCCACGAGACTAGCTGGAAAAAAAAAAAAAAAAAAATAAGATTTACAGACACTTTCCCTTCCAAGTCCTGAGGTCTAGGGGTGTGTGTTTTCTGCTCCTGCTTGTGCCCAGCCTCAGGGACAGGAGAGCAGCAGCCCGTGGGACGAGCTGGGCACAGCTGGAGTGGGGTACCCGTGGCTTTGTGGCCGGGTCCCTGACCCTCTCACCCACCTCCTTCCTGTTCATGCAACTTCTGGAAAATCGCTGGGTCATGTCACTGGCACCTCGCTTGCACCATCTCCTCCCCACCCTCCCTGAGCCTCTTCCATCCTCCCGCGGCATCCCGCTGCCCCGGGTGGCTGCCTGCCTCCCCCTGACTGTGGTCCGTGCCAAGTGTTTTTAGGGGTTACTCCCACCCCGGGCTGCGTCTCGTCCCACTCGCTCTCCAAATTGCAATGCCTCGCTCAAGCCAGGGGGTCCCGGGGAACCTCTCTCCTGCCCGTGGGAGATGGCACCTGTTGGAATGAGGTTTTCCAGAGCGATGACCGGAGGCGTTGGCTGAGCCCGCCTGGGTCCCGTTATTTCGGCCAGCCCCCGCTTCCCTCCTGCCCCTGCGGGCATGTGGTCAAGGCGAGTGCCACGGACCCTGAGTCAGCAAAACCCAGCACCCTCCCGGCCCCGTGGCGCCGCGTGACTCAGCAAAACCCCGCACGGCTCTTTTTGGGAAAGGGCCCAAGGCATGGCGGGTCCCCAGCATCTGTAGCCCGACCCCAGAGGCATCGCTGCTGCCGCCGGCTCCAGCTCGGGGGGATCCTCCTCTTGCCCCCCTGGGTACCGGCAGCTCCGGCGCCGAGTGCCCGTAGGCGGCAGCGGGTCAGACATAAACTAACCCAACCACAGTCCCACTCGAGCAAACCCACCCTCCCCAAGGGCTCTGAACCCCTTTGCAAATGTGTTGTGCAGACAAAAAGGATAGTCCTGACGCCAGCCCCGGGGCTCCCCTACACCCTTTCAGGCTCTCCCAGAGCCCGCGGTGGAGTGGGTGAGGTACCAGCCCTCCTCCTTCCTTTTGAAGTGGTCGGGAAACTGTAGGCAGCCAGGCAACATACATCTGGCCCCACAGCTCCTCCACGAGCGTTACCAGTCCAGCCAGTCTCTTCCAGCATCCCGTGGCTACGGAGTGGGCTCCAGCATGCAGGGATGGGCTGGTGAGGCCAGCACGCCACGCTAGCCCCATACCATCACGCAGTGCGGAGCAAAGTCTTTTCAGCAGGGTCAAGCAGTCCAAATCTAGTCTGTGTCTGTTTTTTTAATTCCGAGGGATTAAGGGCAAGCTTTGCTGTTAGCTTGCTGTTACGAATGCTGTTAGCAAAGCTGTTATGAATGAGCCTTTGCCTGGGCTTCGTGGTAGCAGGGCTTGTGTCTGCATCCAGAGCTGCTCTCATACCGATGCGAGAAGGTCGCTGTGTTTAGATATGCTTCTCTAAGAGACTTCATGTCCATCAAACCAGTGAGACACTTCCCAGTGGTTTATTGGGAAAAAGTGAGGACGGGGCTGTGTCGGCAAATGTTCCGATACCGATCCTCCCATGGGTGCTCACCAGATGGGAAGGGATGGGGGAGCTTATCCCCAGAGTGTTTAATTTGGCTCCAGCCCTTGGCACCAGTGGTTTTGGAGCTGACACCACCGTGCCTGCACATCGAGGGACCGGTGGCCCCAGCGAGGAGCTGGGATTTCTGCATTTGGGCTCCCTCAGCATGCTGACGTTTTCCCTGATGTCAAGGCCTTGAGAGGCGCAGCTGGGAGTACGTCTGGGTATTTATAGGCTGGGACCGTGAGAGTTGCACCATGTTATCTTCAAAAGATAAACTGGCATGAGCCTGGGTTTGGAGGGTTTTACACATTTTTCCTTGTTTGCAGAGCAAGACCCGGAGTGAGGTGGCTGAGGCGCCTGGAGCAGTGAGAGACATGCGAGAGCCAGCCGAGGGACCTGTCCCACCTCATTCCTATTTTTGGCACGGTGAGGAACCCCTTTCCTTGCTGGTCTGTCTCCTCAGCCCCCCTCATCCCCTCAGCTCCACAGGGTGAGCTGGAGCACCGTCTCCCGCAGCCACGGCCGTGGGTGTGGGGTGACGCTCCCCTGGGAGCGGGCAATGCTTTTGCAACCCTGATCCCTGCCCCAGAGGATTCCCAAAGGGATGGTCGGATGACTCAGCCCCAGCGGCTCTCGCAGGCAGAAGCACCCCAGCCCCAGCCCTGGGAGATTGGGGTCCCCTCCACAGGTGACGCTGGGGGATCCCACCTGCCCCTTGCCGCACAGCCAGGGACCTGATGCTGCTTAGTTTCAAACCCTTTATCTTTTGGGGGGCTCTAGCAGCTCCCCCACTTGCAGGCTGGCAGCACTCTGGCTACAGTGGCCTCTTTCTCCTTATACATGGTTGTGTGTTTGCCATCATCCTTTCCTTGGTGTTTTTTTTCTTTTTATTTATCACAGCAGTAGCCAATGCTTTGAACTGCAACGACCTAAGGGTCAAGGAAAGCCTCAGCTCAGAAATGCCGATTGCCAAATGCAAAGCTGCAGGTGCAATTTCTAAAGGACAAGCACCTTCAAAATCAGAAAAATGGTTTGGGGATTTTGCAGCTTGTTGCTAAAGGACAAAAGAAAACTATTCCTCGGTCTGAGTTGAGCAGAGCCTATGGGTGCACAAGCCCGGGCAGGTCTGGTTGCAAACACCCTGACTCCGACTCAAGGTCCCGGTGCCGGCTTGAAGCTGCTGGATGCAGCTAATTAGCAGGGCCTGATTCACCCACCCCGAGCCCCCGCGGGAAGCCGTGGTAACTTTTTCCTGGCGTGGTGCCAGGACCTCACCCACTCCCAGCACCGTTTCCTAAACGATGTAGGATTCACAAGGTGAGGGCACGTTTCCCAGAGACACTGGCACGTCCCAGATTACGCCCTTTTTCTGGGTGACACCTGCAAAAGTAAAAAATCCGAAGGTGCTTTAGTAGCAGCTCCAGCTGATGGGAAGCCTGGGAGCAGGGGAGGGGTTGCACTGAGCATGGCAAAGGGACCCATCCAGGCTCTGGCCACCACATCCCAGCGCTGCGGGAGATGACCTGGGCATCACGGGCGGTGGCAACCACTGGTCCAGTGGTGCCAACTGGCCGGGGCTGGTTTGGAGGCAGAGCTGGCCAGAAGCCTGCTTAAACATTTTTGGGCTGCCAGCATGGACTGCAGTGACCTTGGGGAGATGCGAAGGGGAGATGCAGAAGGCTTAGGCTGGGTGGTAATTGTTGCCTTGGTGTCTCTCACGCCGCAAACCCTGGTCCTGGTGGTGGGCAAGGGTGGCTCACCGGCGGCTGGGTGTCACGGCTGGGTGTCACGGCTGGGTGTCACGATGGGCAGGAGCCCTGAGCGTGGCTCCATCCCCATCAGGGCCATTTGCGGAAGCCTTTGAGCATGGGGTGCTTTCACCTCAGTGGACCTTCTCCATCAGACCCTGCTCTTTCAGACTTTCCCCTAGCTATTTGAAAATAAGAAATAAAAGGCTTTACGCAGCAAAGTGCTTATGGTCTTTAAGCCTGTGAGCTGCCCTGGTGTCTTCACCAGAGTTTACTTGTCCACTGCTTTGCCTCGCTGGGCTACCACCAAACCTGTCATCGCCTGTCCCCATGTCCCACGCACTCCATGGCCCTGCCCAAATCCCCGCCACCCCCACGCCACCTGCCCGGGCCTGACCCCACTCGGTGTCAGTCGGACGTCCTTCCGCATCCCCCGGCCCGTCCTCCCCCGCGGCCGGGGACATGCCTGGCACCCACCTCGGGGAGGAGGGGACCTGCCTCACCCCGGCTGCCAGCCCTGTCCTCTCCTCGGGGCAGGCATCTCGTGGTGTTTGCCTCACCCGAGTTATTTTGCAGCAGGCTGAAATTGCCGGGGACGGGCAATAACAACTCTGGCAGTCGCTGGCTGCCGGCAGCGTGACCGGCGGCTGACGGGATGGGGTGGTAAGTGACAACGATGGCATCGATTCATCGCCTCCCACGCCAGGATGTGATGGGGAGCACCGGGACCCGACTCACCTCGTCACCTGCCTTGAGCAATCCCTGCTGCGGTCCCCGGGGCCGCGCGAGCCTGGCCTGGGGCACGGGGGTATCGGCTCGCCGGTGGGGTGTCCATGTATGATGCAGAGATGTGCCTCCAGCCACATCTAAGCACGCCATCCATCTGCGTTTTCTTTGCCAGCACTAGACGCCATTTAATTCTTTCCTTTAATTTCCAGCCGAAGCTTCCCCGAGAAGACCATCATTTATGTGATCACATCTCCTCCGTGTGACAGAACACCAAAGCGACTGAGCCTTCTGGTCCTGGGAGGAGTGTGGGCTCAAAAAGACGAGGGTCAACACCCCATGGTGACCCAAGGATCAGCTTAAACTTGCAGTGTGTTGCCCTGGAGTGGGAGCAACCACCCAGCTCCCACTGGTGATTTGGTGAATCAATCCCAAGCTCCTGGGGCAGTTGTTGCTGTGTGAGTATGCCCATGAAGGCTCTTAATTCCAACCTATTTATTGTCGCCTTTCTCCTAAGCTCCAGCTTCACTTGCTGCCGCAGCCAGCATTTTCCAACGTGCCTGCCTGCGGTTAAGATTTTGAACCTATGTTTAAGCACCTCAGCAAACACGGTATGCGGCTTCGCACACCCTCTCTCAGAGCTTCTGCACACAAAACACCCTGTTAATAATTATTTGCAGCGTGGGACTTGGCATCTCAGCCTCTCTGGCTGCGAATCCCTGAGTGTTTCCCAAGATGGTCTGGCACCAGGGTGGCTTAGGGTCAGGGGTATGGTCAAAAATGTGAAGACTCTTTGCCCCATGGTCTCAGCCGAAGGTGCTCGTAGGTTATGGGAGGTGTGGGAGCATCCCTGGAGGACACCGCAGCTGTGCCTGGCTCCTGCAACCTCCAGCACCCTCTCCAGCTGCAGCCAGGAGTCAATAAAGCCGAACTGCTCGGACACTGCCAATGCAGATATCTCTTAGCGGCTAAATACCCGCCAATCTTCCCTCCCTGCGGTGTCACCATTTCGTGAAAAATTCTTTTCTCTCTCATAGCGTTAAGCTGGTTTTGGTTTTAGCAGTGCAACCCTAAACTGACTGGTGCAGTGAGTGGGGGATTAAGGGCACGCTCTTGGGCAAAGGTCTCCTGCAAACTCCTTGGGGCCAGCTGGCTGCAGCCTCCGATCCCTGGGGTCACGCACCACCTCCACCCCCCCCCCCAAAAAAAAAAAACAAGGGCTGCTTGTTCAGCACCGCCGGCAAGGCTGGGATCGGCAGAGAAGGCAGCTGACCTGCCTGCAGCTGAGCAGAGCGGGAGCATCGCCCGCTTCCCTCCCCGCATTGGGACGGTGTCCTGGGGGTGGCCCACGCAGTGGCAGATCAGTGCCGGGGGGAGGATGGGGGGGGGAAGGAGGACAGGACTCTGGCACCAGGAAGCTTTGGCTGGCGTGGCAGGGGGCTGCTGGAAAACAATGGCCAGAATCAAGGGCAGGTCCTCAGAGCCCCCTTTGCACCCCCTGTGCACGCATTCATTTCTTTTCCCGGAGTGGAAAGGTGTGAAACCTAGCGAGGCTCAAAGGGAGCCTGTCCCTGTGGGTGGCACGGTGGTGTGACCTGCTCCTGCCTTGCCCTGGCCCCCCAAACCTGAGATGGATATCAGAGAAGCATCCCGTGACCAACCCCAGCAGTTAGACCCACTTTGGGCTGTAGCAGCAGCAAGGGACACCTGGGCACCAGCAACCCTTTGAAGGAGGGAGATTAAAATGCTTCAGAAAGCCAAGACCTGAGGAATATCCCACATTAATGAACTTATTACAGATGCCTCTAAGAGAAAACAACAAGTTTGCCCTCGCAGCAGGGGTTGAAGCTGCAGCAGTCATTGCCAGAGGGTATTTTTCATGCTTCATCTCCAGAGCAGGGTAACAAAGGGCAGTTTCACTGCTTCACATTTGAGCCATGGCCTGAAGCAGCTGCACTTGGCCCCATATGATGTAACCCCACAAACCCTGAGTTTCCTTCCTTTTTTCCCATTTTGGGCACATTTCGCCCCGTCATGCCCCGCTGTGCTGACAGTGCCGGAGGAAGCCACACGGTGCCTTCCCCCTTGCCTCAGCAGCTCATGCCCTGTGACGGCTCACGTGGGTCTGTCCCCATCACCCTTGACTCAGCTAATTCCCCGTCGCCCGAGGCATTGACCAAGCTCCTGCTAGTGCTGTCCAGGCACCGGCAAAGGCGATGGGTCGGAGGGGCAGAGGGTGTCCAGGACCACCACTGCCACCACCACAGTGCCCGTGTCCCCACCGCCAGCTGCCACCGAAGCATCGGGCTGTGCACGGTGAGCGCGGCCGGAGATGGGCGCTTGGATCCCCGCACCGAGCCCAGCGGTATCTGACCTGCATAAAAATGGGACGAACATCTGTACCTGCTTACCGGGCACGTTTTGAGCATCCCGTAATTAATGTTTGCTCAGCAATTGAGGCTGACGGGTGCTTAGTGGTATTAGCGAATGATGAGTAGCTGATGTTGCTACCTCAAAACATCTAATTTCAGCATCTGGACTGAGCAAAAGTGCCAGGGGCCAGACTGCTGATGCCAAGACCCTGCCAGGCTTTGCGTCTTTGGCGGTGGCTTCCTACCCAAGCCCCGTACACAGGCATCCCTGCCCTGGCAGCCCCGAGCTCGGACCCGCACGGTGGCCACGGTGGCAGGGACAGGACGGGTGGCACAGCGGGGCCAGCAGCTCCCCTTGCTAGGGCGAGATGTGCAGAGCCCCCCCAGCCTGGGGTAGCGGGAGCAGGGGTGGGCTTGGGAACACAGATGCAAGATGCTGTTCAGGGGCCTAATCTAAAGGCCGCTGAATGTTTCTTGTGTATTTAACTCATCTTGATGTACGTGTATAAAACCGGATTACAGAGCTGAACGTCTGTAAAGGAGCACTGAGTTACCCCAGCCCTCCTCCCACACTCCTGAGCATGGGTGTGGGGGACAAGCGATCACACGGGGCTGATTGTTTATTTATTTATTGAAGGGGAAAAAAAGCTTTGGTGAGAGCAATGCTCGTGAAGCCTTTAAAAAAAAAATTACTTTTTGATTACACTAAGATTTAAAGAATTAAGCCACCGTCATTTTTATCAGCTCTGTCCGTATTCCTGCCCAGCAGGCACTGCCCTGAGCAGCCAGTTTGTATTTTTGTACGAGGCTGTTCTGGGGAGCTCCCAGGGATTTGGGGTGCGTGTCCAGTGGCCTCTGGCTGCAACCGCTTACATCCTGCCCTGGGGAAAGAAACCTGCAAATGAATCTCGGGGAAGGGGGGGATGCTGCTTTCTCCCAGGAAAATTAGGAGCAGTTTCTAAATTGCCAGAGGAGAGGCATCCCTGCACGGGGGGAGGGGGGGGTGGCGTGGTGCCAGGCAGGGTCCTGAGCGCACCCACAGACCCACGGACCTGAGTGGCAGCACCGGGGACCCCCACCCCCAGGCCTGGAGCCCATTTATGCCGGGGCTGGGCAGGGAGCCCTGCAGCTCCAGGAGCTGTGTCCTACAGGCCTGGCTCTCCTAAGGGCACTCTGAGCAACCCGCATGCCTGAGGAAAGGTGACTTGTGCTGTCATCTCTTCTATAACGGGGAATAGCTTGGGCTTTCTTTCTTCAACCTCATCATCCATTGCTAAGAAAGTCTGTAGGTCCTTTACAGCTTTGAAGTCTTTCGGCAGCTCCTTAGTTTGGCTGGAGCTTCCCAAAGGACTTGCTAGCATGTCAGCCTCCTCAGGAAACTAAGCTGAGTGTGTCTGGTGAGGAGGGTCTTGAGGGATTTCTTTGGGAAGAGGTCCTGGGAATAAATCTGAGAGACTGAGCACAGCCACAGCTAGCATTTTTAGTGCTTGGTTTCATTCTTCCTTTAGCTCGTGTGTGGGGCAATAGCTTCATTTATTTCTTTGAAGAAGAGAAAAGTCCCCAGGTCTTGCAGGGCAGGTAGGTGGTAGTCCTCAGTGTCACAGAAAAGGTGACCTTCCTTCCTGGAGCAGTTGCATCTTTTGGCTTTATCCTGAGACCTAAGGGACCTCATATACCAGGAGCAGAAATGAGCATCAAGTCTGCATGGTAGCCTGTGCTCTCATGCAATGCTCTCACCCCCTTTCCCCGAGGTTTGCTTGCTGCAAGTTAGGAAATCCTTCCCTCTCTGCCAGAAGGTTTGCCTTCAGCTGGCCCAGTCCCCTGTGCTGCTGGGAGGGAGGGCTGCTGGCCTGCAGCCCATCAGCAGCAGGAGGGGACCCAGGCAGAGGGCACACCCACATTTCGAGCCCCCTGGATGTTGTGAAGCCCATCGTCAAAGAAAATGTGGGGCTGGATCTGGGCGAGGATGGGGCCCTTGGGAGCCCCGTCCATGAAGAAAGCCTCGTCAATGGTCAGACCCCATTCCCGGAGCGTCTTGATGGCTCGGATGCCCATGTCCCGGCCGCTGCGGGCGGTCACCAGGTAGGTGCGGATGGGGGATTTCTCCTGGCCGAACTTTTTGCGCATCTTCCCAAGGCGCATGGCAAAAGCCTTCAGGGGACCCTGGAAACACAGCAAGGCACTTGGGAGTGGGTGGGAAATAAGGAGACATCTGCTCTGCCTGTACAAGCCACTTGTTCCTCTTCCAGGGTTTCTCAGGGGTGTGCAGAGCACAGGGATGCCTGTGGGGTGCAGGATTGAGCAATGCTGGGACTGGTGCTGTGCACTGGGGTGCTTGGGAGGAAGACGAGAGCGGTGGTGCTCATCCTAAACCCAAAGTGACCTGGAAGGTACATCCCAGCGAGCAGCGCCTCTGGGTCTGTGTCCTGCAGGGACTTGCACAACGGGAGGTCCCAGCCTACAAAAGGCGACGCTGGGGGTAACCCCAGCCCTGGATATTTGGGCGCTGATGCTCCCTTAGAGGAGACATCAGACCAGATCCATTTCCAGTGGGGCTCCAGATCAGGCCTACGCCAGGTGGTGGATGCAGTGGGAACCTGTAAGGATTTGTGCTTTTCTGGCTACTCATGGCAAAGCTCTAACGGGAGAGATGCTCATGGTGGGTGCAGAGCCCGTGGGCGCCCGTGAAAGCGAAGTGGCTTGCTCACCTCTCCCATGGGCACGGCCTCCATCGCCCGCTCGTACTGCACGGCCCCCTCCAGCCCCTGCTCCTGGAAGACCTGGTCCGTCTCGTCGGAGAAGAGCACGGCATCCCCGTCGAACGCGACGCGGAGCGGGGTGCTGGGGGCCTGCACCTCTTGCTGGCAGACGAGCGCTGCCGACACCCCTGCGAGACAGAGCGAGGGAGGGGGGGGCTCAGGAGGGACACCCCCTCCCCGGGTGGGGGCAGCTCGTGCGTGGCCAGCTCCTCCCCACGCATTGGCCACGGCCCCATCCCACACCCCAATGTTGGGATCTCCAAGCTGGGGGGGGGGGTGTCTTTCTGGAGCCCTTTCGAGGGCTGCGTTACCCCCCGACGGGGATGGGCAGGAAAGTGCTGCTGATCGGAGGCTCACATCTGAAGAGATACTGAGGTCTGCTAAGAGATGATGGGTGTTTGTGTAGGCACGAGCAGCCCTCCTCCCGGTGCTCGCCCGCCCTGCCAAGCCTGGTTTTAATGCCCAGATTTAGCACGCCGTGCCGTGAGTAATAGGGACTGGCACCACCACTTGATTGGGGTAATTGGCTTAATTACAGGGCTCTTCCTCCAAGCTGCTCCCTGCCCGCCCTCGTTCATGGACCCAGGCCCCTGGATGAGAGACACTTGTGAGAGCAAAGATGTTCTTCAAGGAGGCTCCAGGAATGTGCTGTGTAGCAAAGGAAAGCCCAGGCTGCAGATGGCTTGCTCCTGACCTTGAAGGACCTTGGCCAGCTGATGTGCTCATACCCAAGCAAATTAATAAGGAGGTGATTAACCCTGTTAGAGCTGTTGGGGAGACTGCTCTCCCTCCGATCCAGGCCAAGCCTGTGCTTACATCTATCACTGAGCACATGGTAACTCTGCATGTACCCAAAAAGCAAATTTCGATAGCACCCTCACAAAGCCCTGGGAATCGCTAATGCACTCGCATTGATCCAGGGAGCAGCCATGGGCAGCATCTTTGGTTAGAAAGGATTAAATATCAGGCAGGGGATGACCAACCCATGGCAGAGCTATGGCCGGAATTATGCATGAAGCACTCGGTGACTTGTGAAGGCCTCGGAGAAACCCTGGTGTGTTTGCAGGCTACTGGTGGGGACAGAGATTGGACTGTTCGGGACTGTGCTGGTAATCAATGCGCCATTCACCCCCTTGTCCCCGTGAGAGCACGGGCTCTGGTGTTGCCTCTTGGTACTGAGCTGCTCAGGAAAGGTGAGGTGGGTTTGGGGACGTGGGATGGAGGGGAGAACGCACCTCTCCGAAGGGCGTTGCAGACATCTGTCCTGTCAGCTGAGAGGAAGAGCTTGACCCCGTGGGATTTCAGGTACTGCGTAGAGTCCTCATCGCTGACGAAGCAGAACTTGGAGATCTCCAGGCCTTCGGGTCAGGGGATGTGAGCAAAGTCTGTTATGGGGCAACATCCCCCTCACAGCCCCCACCTCCCCTCCCCGGGTCTCGGTGTGCTTTGCTGCAGAGCTCAGGGTAATTATTTTCCCAGTGCTGTGTGGGGAACCCACCCATGTTCTTGCTGCATCTCCTTGCCCTGTTGCTCCTACAAAACTGCAAAGTGCAGTTAAATATTCTTTTCATCCCTCCCTTAAACGAACCTTCCTGATAGCACTGTGTAGCACTGTGGGACTTTTTGTGGGACTTTTTTTTTTTTTTTTTAAGAACTCTGTTTCTTTTGTAGCTGCCTGAAGCTACCCAGGCTGTGCAAAATGCTGCCAGACCCCCAGCTGCGAAGGATATGGCAGAAGGGAGCCCGGTTCTGCTAAGGACCCTGTATCCTAGGAGTGCTCCAGCACCCTGGGCAAGCAGCCTGGGGCCGGCAGGAATTGGGCTTTTTTCCAAAATAACCCCTTCCCCTTGTATCCCCTGGCTCTGTATTTGCCACCGATGCTCCACTGCGGTGGTGCCTTCTCGGCTTTGCAGCCGCCTGGGGGGAAGCAGCCCCCCCTGGGGATGGGGTCCCCCTTACCGTAGTGCTTGGTGCTGTTGATGATGCGCACGCCGCTCTCCGGGCTGTTGTTGGAGAGCACCAGGATGTCAAAAAGGTCCTTCTCTGCTGGGTTGCTCTCCAGGATCTTCTCGTTCACATACTGCGCTGCCTGCGAGGTGAAGGTGGGGCTTTTTTGGAGGGGCATGACTGCAGTGGCTTGCCAAAGCTCTTTTGCACTAACCTTAATGGTTTGTGCTGCATCTGTCAGCTGTGGCAAGGATAGCGTGTTATGGAGAGCCAGACAGATCAAAAGCCATCCTGCCAGGAGGGCAGGGAAGGGGATACCCCCACCAGGAGGGAGGGGGACATGTGGGACCGGTGAGGAGCACAGGTCTCGACGCCCTGCAACAAGGCCAAGAGGCTGGGACAGGCATATCTACACCCTGTGATGGGAGTTGAGACCTAAAGCCGGGAAAGCTGAGCTTTCACCCCATCCCACGAGTGCCTGCTTGTGCCCCTGGCCAGGCGTGGGGCTCACCTGGATGAAGGCGAAGGCCGTGCCTGGTCGCAGGGGCTTGTCCTGGTTGGCTTTCTGGTGCCTTGTGTACTCCTCCCTGCCCTTCTCCAGGTAGAGCTTGTGCTCCTCCTCCAGGTTGAAGATGGCTCTGGTGGTCACCGCAATGACCAGTGCCTCGCTGGGGTCTTTCTGCAGGACAGGGAGGAAAGAAAGATTAGGGGGCAGCGAAGGAGCTTCGGGAAGTGGGGTGAGCAGCGGGACACAGGGCTCCACTGAGCAGGGTGGTGGGGTTGGACGTTGGAGGCATCACCCACGCGTCACGGTTCCTGATGCCAGAGGGGCCTTTGGAGAAGAGGTACCAAGCCCAGTCTTAATTTTTAGGCCACCAAGGATGCGGCAGGCGGTTGTGAAACCCTAACCTGTCTGGTAAGTGCCGTATGCTCTGAGGACAGCTCACACCAGAGAGGATTGCTTCATAATTTTGCTGTTTGTGAGCGCGGCACAGCCATGGTCAACTGTTTGTGCCGAGCTGGGCACTGCTGGGTTTCTCTGCGTGTCCTGGTGGTTCTACCCTTCGTCTCTGTCTGTTCTGGAGAGTCTAATAAAGTCTCTATGTATGTACAGAAGCTGCTGCTTTCTCCTTGGCTGCTCCAAAGTGTGAGCAAACGCACCCGTCCTGCCCATGCAACTGGAGGTTCAGCCGTGCAACCTCTTCCCATGTGGAAATCACACGGACCTCAGTGGGAGCAGGTGCCCAGCAGCCCTGGGACAGGCCACTTCTGCTGAAACCTGGGCGCAAGCAATTCAGGCCACCACAGCTCCAGGTTGTGGTGTGTCCTTTCCTGCGGTGGCATTTCAAAACTTGCTTTAGAAATGTGCATGTTTTGTAATGACCAACCTCTTACCTGTTTCACGTCAGTGTTTAGGACTGTGCTTTCAGGCTCTGCCATCTTCGACTTTCAGCCTCAAAGAGAAAGTATACAATTAGAGTGGTACATTGTAATATAGCCAACCTAGAGAGGGGGAAGAGTAGAAAAGAGGCAGGGGACGTGGAGCAGCCCAAATGAACCTGCTTGTGCTGGCAACAGCTCTACTCTGAGAAAACTTAGTCTAAAGTTCCAATTAAATATGATGGAAAAGTGGCTTTTCAAACATAGATCACTGGGTTGGTTTTTTTTTTTTTTTTTGTTTTTCCTCACCTCAAGCAGTATTTTTCTCTAGGGGGAACTACTAAAAGCAGTTGTGGAGCTCTTTTCCCAGCAAAATAAGTCTGTCTTTAAAAGCCAAAATAGGTCAGATCTTATGGGTAGGCTTCTAGTTCACATCCCTGGTGCCTTTCTCGCTATTTTTGCTTGAATAGCGAATTTGTATCCACAAATAAACAAGTTCACTGCAGGAGCAGGTCTTTTGGAGCTGCAAAAGGCCGGAGTAAGTCGAGATGTGTGGTGAGGGCTTGGGTGCAGGATGGGACCCCCCTGATGGGGCTGCTCTGCCCCTCCACAGCCCTGGGAGCCAGCCAGCCCCTACACTGAGGGTGTGGGTGCAGGCTGGGCTAACCCGGGTCTGGCAGACAAAAGTCTTGGGGGGGGGGGGTGGGTTACACAGTCTGCCTGTGCCTAGCAGCTGAATCATAAATCCCACTTTTTTTTGTACACCCGGGTCCTGTGGTTTCTGTAACCACCACGCTGTATGCTTCACTTCTCTGCACTAGTCAGTGTTAGAAGTGGACTTTTAGGATTCAGCCTGCGGGATGGGAACCGTTCCCATGGGGATCCCATGGGGGGTTGTTTCCACCCAGCAGCTCCCACGAGTACACTGCAGGGTTTCTCTGGAGAGCAGAGGCAGCAATGACTGCTCTACACAGACGTGCTGGGAATAGCAACAGCATTAACACCTCATTTACCAGTTCATGCCCTACCTGATTACTGGGGCGGGGGGCTGTGCAAGCACAGACCAAAGCCAGCATGCAGTATAAAGGCCAAGGCAGGGTCTCCAGGGAGACGTTTCTTTTGCCTCAATTTTCTTTAATTAATTGTTATAATTCAGGGACTGCAAAGTGATTCCTGGGCTAGTAGGAAATGCACTTGGCTGATGCCAGCCCTGAGAGCGAGAGAGTTGCCATGGGGGGGGGCGGGGATTGGCCTCAATATTTGCATGTGTGCTCCATGACTGCCCCCCCTGGGGTGGAAAGCCCTCCTGGCAGCGCTCCCCACAGCCGGGGGGTGCCCGGGAAAGCCAGGAAATGCTGAGCATCCCATACCCCATGCCGGGAAGGGGTCTCTTCCCAGAGAGCAGGGCAGAGGGTGGCAACCACCAGCCCAGCTGAGCGGGGAGAAGCTTTCCACTGGCAGAATTTCAGCCAAATACTTTTCTGAAAGTGAAAATCAAATGAGAGGGGGCAAGGGAGTTAAGCAGCCCTTCTTAGGGGGGAGAACACCACTTGTAATTTCTGCTCTTTTCTTCCCAAGTGCTGCAAACCCAGCCTGACTTTTCCTTTCCATCTCCCTGCCCCCGGTGACTGCCGCAATGTGTACATACCAATATGCATATATGCACGTGCACACATCTCCGCTGCGAGCAGCCCCCCCCCCCCCCCCCCCCCCAGCTGCACCCAACGCCGGACACTACAGGAAAGCATTTCAGGCGGATGTTTGCTGCTCCCGGCAGCCCATCCTGCAGCTGCGTCGCACGGAACAGATACTGTCCCACCGCTTACAGCCTGGATTTTGCTAGAGAGAAAAGCCCCAACTCACCGCGAGCGCTTGCCACGGCTCCCCGGCGCAGGCTGTCCAGCGGCAGCATCCAGCCTTCGCCCAAGATGCTGCCGTTTATATTTCCCCCCCTCCCCGCTCTGGCAGGAAGCAGGCAGGAGCCAGCCTGGGGTGCAGCTCCGCTCCCCGGTGCGCTGGGATTTGTAGGCAGCCGGGCAGGTTGGCGTCGTGCCTTGGCCAGACTGCAGTTCCCAGCCGGCGCCACACAGGCCTGGCCACGGCCACGGGCACAGCCACGGGCACAGCCACAGCCACAGCCACGGGCACAGCCACGGCCACGGGCACAGCCATGGCCATGGGCACAGCCACGGCCACGGGCACAGCCACGCTCCAGCCAAGGGGCTCAGCCCCACTCCTGTTTTTTGGGGTCCCTGGGAGCTTGCGCTCGGCCGCCGCTCGCCACCCACAAGCGCTGCAGCGATGTCTATTTCTGGAGCTGGGGTATTTATAGCGTGCCTCCAGACCTCTCATTTCCCAGCCTTTGAGTACATAATGGTTGTAGTTTTGACCAAAAATATAGGGGTATCTGTTCAAGAGTGGTTTGCAGCGTATGCAGGCAGCTGCAGGGAGCTGGGCCAGGGAGAAAGGCTGGTGCAGAGCATGGCAGGGTGCAGCAGGGACTCACCACATTTGCAATTTTACCGTAAACTTTTTGGGTCCTTTTTCCCTTCGTTCCTGAAAGCTGCCACTTACGCGCTGCCCTGAGCGGGGGTGATTTTGGGGCTGGGATTTTGCTTTTCCAGGTGGGCTGTGCGGCACCCAGCCCTACGAGGCTCATGCTGCAGGGGTATTTCAACACCCCCTTTCTGCCCAAGAGTGAGATCTGTGTGTGTGTGGGGGGGTGTTGGGGAGAGGAAGGGGCTGACACAGAGGAACATCTGCCATCCTGCAGCTTGTCCCTTGCCCAGCCGGGGCACGTCCCTGCCCCGCTGCTGGGAGATGGCCCTGAGCAGCAGCATCCCCAGGCTGGCTCCTACCAAAGGAGACCAAACTCACCCCCATTAAAGCCAAGCAGCCGTCCCCTCTGCGTGGCACCAGGTTATCAACAGCATCACCAAATCTCCTCCCAAGGGGTGGGCTGCAGCTGGGGTCCTGTGCAGCTTGGCTTCACCGAGATGCTCATCCCTAGCAAAGAACCTGTCAAACGGCTACTTGATATGCTCAGCTTTTAGCGTGTGTATGCAAACGCCCTTTGCCTGACTGGTTTTATTGGGCATGTTTTCTTTTCCCCCTGTCCCCTTTATGAATTTATCCCGTGCATCCTCTGAGACTGCCGCTTTCGAGCAAAAAGTGTTTTGGCATCCACGTTTCTCCTCCCAGAGCTTTGCTGCAGCATCATTCCTGCAGCACCTCCTGCTCCTGGAGATGATGCTTCTCTGAGCAGCAGGAGTGCAGGCCACTTCTGAGCGGGGCTGTGTTTTGGGTGGCCAAGGGGCAGCCCTGGCACCTCTCCTGTGGTCAGGAGCCCATTATGGCAATGCCTTGGTGGCCATACGAAAATCTGGCAGGACTGGGATGGGTCTAGTTTCTGGGGCCTGTCCCCCCACGTCTGCGTCAGCCAACGGGCATTGGCGGTATCGCTCCCTGCTTCCAGCATCGCCCCAAATTTCCGTGGTGACAAGGCAGGTTTGGGGCTGACTTTGCTGGATTGGTAACAAGGTAAGAAGTGTACAAGTGTAAATTTAATGTGACATGGATGCTGGTGAAATAATAGCTCCTGGTGCTGCTCCTCTTGGCGCTGGGGGGATGAGGCCACCCAAGCACCATCCCCTCGCCCTGCCTGTTCCTCCCTGCCACGTTGGAGAAGAGCATCCCCGTTCATCCCCGCTGCCTCCCGCATTTCCCAGGCCCTCACATGCTGCATTAAACCGCCGCATACCCCTGCGGGCCAACGAGCTGGGCTCCCCAAACGCAGAGCTCAGCAGGGATGGATGCAGCCGTGCACCCCTCCCCTTGCAAGCGTCCGTCCGCTTGTGCTGGATGCCTGCAGCCGCGCAGCATCGCTGCAGGGATAACTTGGAGAAGGAAATTTGTCGGGACACCGAGCTGGGCAGTGATGCCCGCCGGCTTCTCGCAGGCAGGAGGGCAGGTTTTGCTTCCTGGTCTGGCAGGGAGTTCCCCGCCGGCTTTTCGCCTGCGCGAGCACCGCTTGGGTCAGCGGTGAGGTGGGGCCGACGGAGCCGCTGGGGCCGCCCGGTTCCTGGGCTGGCAAAGCAGACTTTCTTGTTTCGGCCGTGCCGTGCAGCCACCATCCCTGCTGCACTTTCGGCTCTCACCCCGCAGCATGCCCCTGCCACGCGCGGCGGCTGGGCCCGCAGCCCACACAGCGGGGAAGGGACACTGAGGCTGGGAAGGACACTCATCGGTAAGTCTGGTTTCGGAAGCCCGGCCAGCACAGGGTGGGAGCGAGAAGCAGGGCTCCCCCGACCCCTTTTCCAGGAGCAGGGATGCTCGATGCTCTCTGCGGAGCCCACTGAGGCTGTGCTGCCTGCCCCAGACCGCAGCAGGGCTGTCCCCATCGTCCCCAAAACTGTGGCTCAGGTCACCCTGCGGGGCTGGGATGAATTTTGTTTTTAAGCCAAGGCCAGTGTCAGGCTAACGTGACACAGCCTGTGGGGGTCTGGCAGGGAAAAAGGGCCGAGACACCTAATTCTGTGCTGGGTGGGTGCCGGCTCGCCTGTGCTATTGTATCCACCCACTGCCACAGCCCGAGGCCACAGCCTGGCACCTCCTAAATATCTCAGGTATGTCACCGGCCACTGATTTCCGTGTGTGGCGACAGCAGAAACCGATAATTAAAGCTGCTGGTGGCAAGGCTGTGAACGGGGCTCGGGTGTCCAACGGCACAGATGTCCCAGTTGGCCCTGGGCATGTCACTTAACCCGCACCTCATTGCCCCAGCCACGATGCCGCAGGGATGATAGCAATTCCCACGCCTCTCCAGCCCTTTGCCCACAGGCAGCAAAGCCCACTGCTGGAAAAATTAAAGGCTTTTCTGGCTTCCTGGGCTCAGCAGGGAAAAGCACAGAGGTGGTTTCTCCCCGGGAGGTTCCCCGTGCAAGGAGCCACGGCCCTGCGGGGCGGGCAGGATGCGGGCAGAGGGTGGGCAGAGCGAGGTGATGCTGGCTGCCTGAGCAGGGACCCGCTCGGACGTGGGGCGGGTGTTTGGAACAAGGTGAACGGGCACATACCTGCCAGCCTCGGGCACAGCACCGGGGCCGGGTGCCGTCAGTGCCGCGATGGCTGCAGACCCACGGGCCGCATAGCCCAGCTCCCGGCGCGCCGCTGCCGCTCACCCGAAAGGATGCAAAGAAGGAAGTTTTGGCTACAAGGAAGTGTTCGTGCTAGAATGAGAGCCTCGCTGTGGAGAGAGCAGTAGCGCAAACCCATTCTGCTTTAAATTTGAAGCCTTCCCCGAAGCTGCGTCAGCGTTGCCCGTGTGCGTGGGTCGCGCTTCCGTGAAGTTTCCGAGCCGGTGTGACCCCAGCTTTGTGGCACTGCTTCCACTTGCACCGCTGGCACCAGTCCCGCTGCAAGCCCAGGAGCAAACCCTCCCGCTCCTCAGCCCTGCGAGAGGGGGGAAAATAGCCCCAAAAGGCAAAAAGGGTGTTAGCTAATGGTGGGGCTTGCCTAGGGCTGAGCAAACACTTCAGCTCAAGCTGCCTGGCCAGGGAGGAACCAGCACAAAACAGCTCTTGGGTTTTTTTTCCCCTACAGCCAGGTGATTCCTCTTCTCAAAAACAAAGGAAATCTCCTTAATCCATCCCCTGACTCCCTCCCCTTTCCAAAGGCAGGTGTGCAAGGATATAAATGAGAAGGCTGTAGGCGAGGGGCTGATTGGCACAGAGCCCTCCCTGCCCCTGGCTCCCTCCCACTCCATTTCACACCTCGCTGCCAAGGTGGCCAAGCCCTAAACGCTTACGTTGGTCTCTATGTTTTAATTGTGTTTGCTCTCATTAGAGCCCTGGGCCACTGGCAGCACATGCACTACTGGAAAGGAAATCCCCACCCTGTTATTTTTTTTGCTTGCGTCCCCAGGTCACCCGGGTTTAGCCATGGCAGTGGTAGCCAGGAACGGCAGGGCGACGGCCTCCCCGCTCACCAGTAGCCCCGTGGGCATCACCACCACGGCTCGGCCGGGCTCCCTGGGCGGCTGGCTTAGCCGGATCCCATGTGAGTAGGATGGCGCTTGCCCTGCTCTCTCAGGCAGCATTATCTGGCCGGTTCTCCTGCACCCTGAGGCTGTGTATCCTCTTCTCCCTCCCTCCAAATCCCTTTTCGCAGCGGGGGCCGTTGGGGGGGGATGCTGCAGGGTGGTACCGTGCTGCTTCAGGAGCGCAGGGCATCCTTGCTGCCCATTTGGGGAATGGTCCCCAGCCGCAGCCTCCCTGCATGAGGCCTGTCCGGGATTATGGGGGGCAATTTTCAAAGTACAACCCCTTAATGCTGAAGCACCAGGAAGGGGTTTAAATGCGCTCTATATGGTTTTGCTTGGTTTTAACTCTTCTGTCCATCCCCGCTCCCCGAATGTTGCACCAGTACCCAAATGGGCGCTCATCGCCGTGGCTGTGGCAGTGGCCCTTCTCCTCCTCCTCTTCCTCATCTGCATCATCAGGTGTTGCTGTTGCAAGAAGAAGCCCAAGAAGAAGGAGAGGGTCAGCTTGCACGCCGTCAGCAACTCCACCATGGCCAGCCTCGTGCGTCCTGCTTTCCCCTCTCCCCCACCTCCCTCCTCCCTGAGAGGTTTTGTGCCGCGCTGCCTGGTCCTGCGGGTGGTGGAGCAGGACGCAGCCGGGGATGTAGCTGAGCACGTCCTGAGGGTAATGTCCATCCTCCCACAGGTCCAGCCTGAGATGGAGGACCTGGAGCGGGCTGCGGAGCAGACGGGGCGAGGAAAGCTGCAGTACTCCCTGGAGTACAATTTCCGCGCACAGGAGGTGGGGACGCTCGCGGCTGCGGCACGGCGGGGAAAAGGCTTTGCTCTTGCACGGTCCCTCTTTGCTGCCCACTTGAGGTGGGCAATAGCCTCCTGCTCCTCTTCCCCAGCCTGCAGCCTGCCGGCTCTCACGCCAGGGTGGCGTGGAAGTGTCCTCCCTGCTGCAATCGCTTCCCGGTTGCCTGGCCCCATCCTCCTCCTCCCGGTGACCTTGTGCATCACTCCTCAGCTGAAAGTCGGCGTGAAGCAGGCAGCCGAGCTGAAGGCCATGGACAGTGGAGGCACATCAGATCCGTATGTGATCATTTACCTAACATCCGATATGAAGAAGAGGTACGAGACCAAGGTTTACCGCAAGACCCTGAACCCTGTCTTCAACGAGAGCTTCACTTTTCAGGTAAGAAACAGTTGATGGTGTTTTTTGGTCCTGTCAAGAATGTTACATGGGCACTGCTCCCTGGGCAAAAACCTCTCCAGGCAGGGAGATGCTTTTGCAACTGGGATGGGGAAGCATCAGAGAAAGACCTGTTATCTCATCTGCGGGACAGGGGTGCCGCTGAGGAGCGAGTGCAGGCTTTTGGGTCCTCCCCTGCAGGTACCCCAGGCGGAGGTGCCTGAATCCACGCTGGTGATGCAGATCTATGACTTCAACCGCTTTTCCAAGCACGACATCATCGGCGAGGTCCGGCTGCCCCTGGCCACCGTCAACCTGCAGCACGTCATCGAGCAGTGGAGTGACCTGGTGGCGGCCAGCAAAGTGGAGGTTGGTCCTGGCAGGTGGGATACTCCGCCGGGAGGGATGCGCTGTTGCCCGGTTTGCCACCACCCCAAGAAGCAGGCCCTTAGGGGCAAGCATGGGGGTGGGGGGAGGCCCAGGAAACCTGGGGCCAGCCTGGTGCTCCAGCCCCGGGTGAGCCAGCTCCTCTGCCCGGTGGTCATGGCTGGCGTCTCTCCATCAGGAAGAGCAGTTGGGCGAGATCTGCTTCTCGCTGCGCTACGTCCCCAGCACCAGCAAGCTGACGGTGCTCATCCTGGAAGCCAAGAAGCTGAAGCGGATGGACTCCCATGGGCTCTCAGGTCAGCGGGGGCTGCTCATGCTCAGATTTTCCTACTCCTGCCTGGGCCTTAATGATGGCACCAAGAGCTGCAAAGCTTTGAAAGCGCTCAGTGCTGAGACCTGCTTCCTGCCACCACCACCACCATACCCAGCTCTTGGCCAGCTCGCAGCCTTCCCCAGCTTCGGGCAGAGCTGGAGGTATCTCCCAGGAGGAGATGTCATGGCTGGATGGGGCTGTACGGGGAGCTTGTGGCAGGTGGCAGGTGTAGAAGGTGAGCTCTGGGAACAAGGCTGGCAAGGGGAAGAGGAGTGGATGCTCACCATGAGGAGTGACAAGTGGGATGCTCTGCTCTGCTTGGGAATGGTCCAGAGAAGCTGTTTTGTGGCTGAGCTCCTCACTTGTTCCAGCCGTGTCTTCTCTCTCCTCAGATCCTTTTGTCAAGGTGCATCTCATTCTGAACAGGAAGAAATGGAAGAAGAAGAAGACAAGTGTGAAGAAAAACACCTTAAGCCCTTACTTCAACGAGGTGTTTGTTTTTGAGGTGCCTTTCAATCAGATCCAGGTGGGCTTCCCTGCCGTGCCCAGGGCTGGGCGGGTCCCTGCTGCGGCGAGCCCCCTCCTCACTGACCCTATTTCTTGTGTCCCCCCCATCAGAATGTGGACGTGGTCATCTCCGTCTGGGACCACGACAAAGTGACCAAGAATGAGCCCATCGGCAAACTCTTCCTGGGCTGCCGAGCCACGGGCAAGCAGTTGCGGCACTGGTCCGACATGCTGTCCAACCCACGCCGGCCCCTCGCCCAGTGGCACAGCCTGCAGCCCCCCGAAGTGGTCGACAAAGCCCTGGGGCTGAAGTCCCACCTTAAGCTGCCCCTGCCCTCCAGATAGTGGGGGGGTCTCCTCCTCCACCCAGGGGCAGGACGGAGGGCTTGCGGGCAGGTCAGGGGCTTCTGCTCAGCACCATCTAGACGAGTTGGTCCCAGCTCCGTGTCAACAAAGAGGGGACTGGGGGGCTCTTTGTTGGCCAAGTGATGATCTGGCTGCTTGGTGCAGCTCATGCCCTGTGTAATGCCCGGCGCGGGGCAGCTCGGCACCCCAGGGCAAGGCTGGATGGGGAGCAGAGGATGCTACAGGGGAAGGCATGGACACAGAAACCGGCTCATCCCGGTCGCTCGCAGGCCTGGGGTACAAATACACAGAGCTCCAAGCTCATGCAAAAACACCGAGTGCACTGATATTTTTAAAGCAGAGGATTAATGTGCCAGCGGCCTAGGGTGGGCAGTTTCTTTGGTTGTGAATAACTCGGCAAGAGGTGAGTTCTTGGGAAGCCTTTATGTGTCCTGTGAAGGCTTTTGAACAAGACCAAGATCCTGAAGCATCCTAAGAAGCTTGAGAGGAGAGAGGACAGGCTGATGAGGAAGGTGTTGGAGATACAGGACTAGGTCTTTAGTGCCCCTGTGATAAATATGCTCTGTGTCCTGGCTAGAGGCTAAATGAGATAGCAAAATCAGCCCCTGGTTGTCCACATGGCATCACTCTTAGCCCATTCCCTGCCTGTGCCGACTGTGTACCCCAAGTTGTGACTCAGGGTATGGGACTCACCAGAGGCCATCCCCATGGACCGTGCAGATGAGGATGCACGGTGTCAGCTCCACTCATCCTGCATGGTCCCACAGTACCAGCACCGCAAGGTTTGCACCTCCGGCACCTGGAGGTGCTGCCGGGGTGGAGGGGCTGAGGCTCTCGCTTTCATGCCATGATCATACAACCCCGATGAAGGCTGGGTTGCAGCCCTCATGTCACTTCTGGGCAGGTTTCATGTCATCTGGGAGGTTCTTGTGGCCACATGTCCAGCCCTGCCCTGCATCACGGGGCCTTGGGGTGGGGTCTACATAAGTAAAGGTCCTTCCTAGAAAGATGAGGACACTGGAGGGGTGCCATCGTCCCTACCTGTCCTTGAGTGTGCTGCGGTTTGGGATGGCTTGAGAGCAGCTCCTCTGAGCCATCTGCAGGAGCATTGGGCAGGAGAAGGGAATCGCCCTTCCACTGAAATACCTCTGGTACAAAGCAGCCATACCACACAGAAGATTTGGGCTCATATCATGGAATTTTAGCCCAAAAGACAGAAACAATTTGCACCATGGGGAGCTGCAGGCACAACGCAAATAGCTATCACCTGGGCTCTGGAGGGGAGACAGCCCAGAGCATTAATGAAGAGCCATTAATATTGAAAGGCAGTTAATCTGCAATTACCTGGAGCTCCACGGAGCGACCATCTGAGAGTTAAACAAACACGGGGAAGCTGAGGAAGATTATGAAAACTCGCTATAGAGATTAATGACCTGAGCTTAACCATAAAAAGCTGCCGCATTTGCTTCTTGATAAATATTCTTCAGGCTTTGCTGTGGCTGTAAGGAGGGAAGAAATGACAGGGTGGGTTTGAGATGGCTGTAACAAGCGGAGTGTGGCTTTTGCTGGGGAAACAGCATCTGCTGGCAGCCACTATTGAGGTGGAGGAGGAAATCAGTCACCTGAGAAAGACTTGTAAAGGGATGCTTTAAAGCCTAAACCTTCAGTCTCAGCCTTAAATCAGGCTGGAATGGTAATTTAGGGCCATGGAGGACCCAGAAGGGCTTTTGGAGGTGTTGGGAACAGACATTTCTTATTTGTGTGTGTGTGTACGTGCGTTTTCCAGTGCCCTTGTTTAAAGTCATGGCCTTGAGGTTCACTGTGTAATTTCTGGGGCCAGGCATAAAAGCACATGCACATTAGTTCCCAAACGGACATGGCTGAAGAAGGTGCAGAGACATCCCCTCCTTGAGAAGCGTTACCCCCAAAACCAGTGCCTGCTGCTCCTCTCTCCAGCTTCAGCCCTGCTCAGAGCCCGGATTGCCGGCGCAGTCCCAGCTGAGCAGAGCTGACAAGGGAAGCCCGTGGTGATTTTAGGGGGGGATGTCAGGGAATCTGGGAGCCAGTGCCTGGCTGGGCTGGCTCTGGGCAGCCTGGGGTGAGCCTGGGTGCAGTAAAACTCAGCAAACCGATTTGTTTGCTCAAGAGGGAGAGGCAAGCAGGTGGGGATGATCTCCACCCAAGTCCAGTTTTTAACGTACCACTGAGGCTGCTTTCTTCCTCTGTCACTGCTTTTCCTTCTCAACCTGCCTTGTGCTCTTACAACAAGGCTTTGAGCGCTTTCCTCCTCCGGCAGGATCCTCTTAGTATCTGCTGGCAGCTGTTTGAAGCAGAGCTGGTGGAGCTGGGCTTTGTTTCGTGGCTTATTTCACCCAAAGTGAACACAGCCTGCTTGGGAGCCTGTTCACGGGGAGGCAGACAGCCTTGTCTTGTGTGCAAGCACCTCCTTTTCCCCTCTCCGTGGCCTTGGCAAAGTTAGTTGTCCCTCACTCACCAAGGCTAGATGTTTGAGCATCTCCCCTGCGTGACCAATGCTCCTCGTGGACTTGGAGGGTCTGGAGCAGGAGGATTCCCCGGTGGAAGATGCAACAAGAAGAGAAGCTGAAGGAGGAAAAGCAACTCCTCCTCAGCTTGTGCCTGTGCTGGATTCCCATGTCTGCATCTAGAGGGCAGGGTAGGTACGTGCTCCCAGCTGGGTCTCTGTGTCATCTGCTCTGTGGCCCCCGTTAGAGCCTCACCAGCCAAGATTTCTTCTTCTGGAGATGGAGCGTGTGTGCAGGAGGGAGGGAAAGCGGTGATGCTTTGGTGCAAGCCCGTTCCCATCGCTGCCGAGCCAGCCGTGCTGGGGGTGCCCAGGTAGCTTTTTCCAGGAGGCAGGAGCCAGCCCTTGCCCGATCCTGTGCCACAGGCGCAAAGAGGGTTTTGTTGGTGGATTAAAGGGGGCAAAAGCAGGTATCCAGAGCCAGTCCGCATGGTGCAAGGTGCCCAGGTGGTGGGGGGGGTTTATTCCTCTGCTGCACGCAAGGGACAGGCAGTCCCTCTGCATTTAATTAGCAGTTTTGCAGGTCAGTGCCAAGGCAAAGAGCAGGGCTTGGGCCAGGCAGAGGTCTGTTAAAGGAGACAAGAAGTACTGAAAATGGAGGTGTTTGCTATTAAGATTTATAATCTCATTTATTTACATCCAGATCCAAGGCTTCTGTCCTTCAGAAGTCCCTCCCAAAGCTAATTGTTCCCCTGTACAGTGATTTTTATATTTGTCTCTCTACTTCAGGAAATCTAACAGGAGAGCTGCACCAGGAGAAGGCTGAGCCTTATACGTGCTTGTCACCGGTTGTTTGCCGTGAGACAAAAATGATTACGGGCTGTCATCGTTCAGCCTGGGTATGGGCTGGCTGTCCTCCAGCCGCGGATTTTTTGGCTAGTCTTACAGTTTTTGAGAGCTGGAGAGTATCTAAGCTCTTCTCACCAGGAGCAAGCGTGCCCGTTTTATAAATATTGGTTAGCTAGCATCGTTATGTCTTGCAATTTTATGGGCAAAACGTGTACTTTGCCAGGCATGCGTTTCTTTATTAAAAGCTCTAGCTCCTGGATTTGTGGGGGTTTATGCGGGTTTGCAGCTTTTCCTTTGAAGGCGCATTTTTATCCTTTAGGGTTGCAGGCCCGGAGGGGGTGTGGAAATATATGAGGATGCCTCCCAGCTCAAAACCCAGAGCCAAAGCGAGAGGATGGTTGGCTTTTGATCACCTCGGCTGACCGTCGGCTGGCGGTGTGCGATGGTGGAGGGAGGCCCCCTCAGCCTCTACCCCTCAGCCAGAGGCGTGGGCTGCAGCCAGCCTCCCCCCCGGAGCCCCACTGTGTGCCACTTGCTCTCGGGGGGAGGGGGCCCGGGGCCGTGCTTCCCACCAAACTCCTTCTCCCAGGCTGCCCAGTATGGTTCCCCGCTGCTGGATCCCCAGGGAGGGCTGCTTGGGCGGGAGATGGGGGGCAGCTGCCGGCCCCCCGGTACCTGCCGGCCCCAGCATCCTGCTCTCGCCTGCGGTAAAGCTCTGCAGTGGTGGGGGGAAACTTTGCTGAAGGGTCCGGTGTGATGGGGGGTGGGAGGGATGGCTGCTGTCGGTCAAGTGGCCTCTGGGCAGCGTTGGTGGGAAAAGGGGGTGCTGGGAACGGGGGCTGGGGGACCCCCCCCCCCCAGCTGGGCACTGGTGGGAAAGGGGTGGAGGGGAGAAGTTGTTCATGGGGGCTGGGGCGTCCAGGGGGGATGCACAGGAGGAAGGGGGGGTGGGGGCTTTGTGTTGAAGCTGGGAGCAGGGGTTGGGGGAGAGGGATGTTGCCTTTTGGGATGATTGCTTCCTCCTCTGCCCTGGCCAAGTCTGCTGTTGATGTGACTTCCAGTTTCTCACGGGGAGGCAAGGAGCCCTTCCCTTATCTTTATTCCTACACCTTTCCCTGTCCCCTTTTTCCTACCCTTTTCCCCCTCTTTTCTTGTTCCCTTTTTCCTGCCCCTTTCCCCTGCCCCAACTGCTGCTGTAGCTCCTGCATCTGGGACTGTTCCTGTCCCAGACTGGGCTTGTTTTTCTTCTGGATCAGTCTGGTGACACAGAAGCATTTTTAGGATCACTTAACTTCCCAGTGTACCTTTCACTGACATGGGCTGGAAGGGAAGAGGGTTTCCCTCATGGGGGTAGCAGCCCCCTGCCCCAAACAGCCCGGTCTGAGGAACAGGACTGATAACGGGTGCGTGGAGATGCTCCCTGACGGCTCCTTCCATTTGAACTTTGTGGGAAGACCTGAAAAACCTAAACCTCCCATTTCTCCATATTTCAGGTCTCAGTAGGGTAGAGCCAGAGGAGAAGCAGCACAAGACTTCACAGCTTTCATGCTGTTGGGCAAAAAATGCCCCGCGAAGAAGGTTGGAGTTATGGTGAGTGGGTACCCATCAGTGGTGACTTGTTGCTTGTCAACAATATTAAAATTTACCAACTGGCCTTGCTAACTTCATGCAGAGGTGATGAAACTCCTGCAGGTGCTTATTGCAGTTCAATTTGAGCAGAAACAAGCATGAAGTCAGTTTGGAATATTTGTTCAACTGAGCTGAAATGAGGCCTTGACGGGCAAACAACATAACCCATGTCTTCTTTTAAGCCCGTTGAGCAATGCCTGGGAAGATGGTAGGTTTGCAGACAAGTGTTTCATCATCCTGCTCATAAACATGGACATTACAGATGTCCCTGTCTGAGCCAGTTATATAGGGGCAACAAGCCCTCTGTGGGAAATGGGTACTTTGACTTGTGAATCAGTTGTTTGCTTAGGATG